ACGTCTCTGCTTCATGTAATAGTCAAGTTATAATAAGGAAGACAGTTTAAAACAAGTTAGGTCACAGAACTTCAGAGATTTTGAGACTTGGTTTTAGCAATTCTCTGAAACCCTCGTGGCCCAAATCTGAGTGGCTCCTTATTCTTTAAGACTCAGACATTTTTACCTTTTGCTAAGTTCACCTGTGTTCATGTAGGAACACCAAGTCTAATATCTTTGTAATTAGACCCATGACAAGGCCATAGTAATATCAGATGTATCTCCTGGATTTCTGGTTCTAGTTTAGAAAATTCTTGCATCAGATGGTAAGATCATGCTGGAATTACTTCTGACATGTTTCCCAGGGTCCTGGTTTGAGAGGACTGCTTAGTGGTCCATCATAGACATCTCATGCTGAGAGGGGGCCCACTATCACCAACTCTGCCTATGTTCCCTCTGGACTTCAGACGAAGTACAGTGAGTGTTCCCTGGTTTGAAAGGCAAGCTTCCTCTTGTCCCTCCCTGTCCCCTCACTCCCCAGTCCACCGCCCTCATCACCACCCCTCATCTCTTTTGCTACCTGTTGTTGCTCATCATTCTGGGATAGCTAACCCTCTCTTTCCTCTTACCCCTTCTCTCATTGCTCTGCTTCTGTGGCTATACTGATGTTCTCTTTCTGACTGACGTGGTCGACCTTGATTATCTCAGGATGTGAAATCTACCCAGATTAGTGTAGTGGTCTTCCTAGACCCTACTCAGGCACTCGTCAAAGTAGATGTTTCTGCTGTGGTGTAGTTTAAAATAAGAGTATGGAGTTAAGGAAGCAGACCTTCCCCACCGGGTCTTCTAGTTCCTCTTAAAGGTGCTTAAAGTCAGACTACTTACTGCACTGCACGGTATTTTCAGTGCTTTATGCTGTCCATTGAACCTTATGGGTCCATCTGAACCAATTACATCATGCTGTTCTGATCCCCTCTTCCCATCAGTAACCTATTTGGATGTCTGCTCTGTAAACTTTCAATGCTGTTTACCCTACCTCCTTGGTGAGCTATATTATAGTTCTGTTTGTTGTTGCAGGGGATGCTTTAAAATGGTTACCGTATTTGAATTTGGGGAGATAGTGAAATGTTCTCTTGACACTCTGCAATCAGAACAAGTTCATTTTAAATCTTTTTATAACAATTTCATTAGAGGACTTGTCTGGTGTCTAAAGTTGCGGTAATTCCAGTATGTGTGCTTATTTTGTTTCCTCCACTGCATCTCAATGAGGACCATATTATTTTTTTTCTTAGAACAAATTTAGGTTGTAGTAGATTAGAAGAAATTTATTTTGATGCATTATTTTAGACAAAGGACTTAACTTGGGTGGAAGTAGAGTTCATTAGATGTTATTGGTTTGCATAATCTTCATTGTCTTTCCAGCCCCGTTTTCTGCCAGTCCTCACCTATAAATAGAACTCCCTATTTACTATTTTCACAGCGGAAGTTTATAGTGACATAAATAGTCTTCCTTTTACTTGAAATACATGTCCTTTTTCAGGGTTCTTCTGTGATACTATGCCCCGTGACCAAGGCATTAGAATATTTGTGATATTTTTACTTTTCTAGGCCATTGAGTATCATTCATTTGTTAAAGAACAGTTCATTAAACCTAGGTATACTTATAATAATTTTTACCCTGTAGCCTTCTTTTCACTTCCCAATTCCTGTCTTTTTTTCTGTTACCTCTTTTGTAGGCTTTTTGAAGAAGCGTGGTACCTGGCCTAGAGTACCAGTTGCCTTAAAGAACTTTGAAGCCCCATCCCTATCCTGTGTGCTTTGTTCCATTGTTTTTAAGAGAGGAAAAGAAATTCTAATACTAGTTAATAATACCTTACCTGTTTGTTAGGGTGTTATCTAGTGCCTTTCAAACTAGGGGAAAAAAAATTAGTGAACAAAATAGTAGATATTAAAAATGGTCATTTTCAGGTATAGTTTCTGACAACTTCAGACATTTTTACCTTTGTACTACGTGATGACTAACACCAGCCTTTCGTCTTCCTTTCCACTGACCTGGGTAACAAGTAATGAGTATATTTAGAGATAAAAATAATTTTCTCACCAAATATGTTCTTGCAGAGCATGTTATTTTCCTTTATTTTCTCTGTGGTATTGCGAAGTCATGCTGTGTGCTACAGGTTTTATAGGTATGAATAAGAATTGATTATATAAAGAATATATAAGACTGGAAAGTGATCCCCGATAGTTAAATTGTCAGGACAGGCTTCCTGGAGGTGGCATCAGTTAGCCAGACCTGGAAGGAATACGTAATACAGTTTCAACGTGTAGAAACAGGATGAGCAAGGGTAAAGTAAGAAAGGGCAAGATTTGTGCAGAGTAGAGAGCAGGCCTGTTTGGCAGGAATGTAGAGCACAAATTGGGATATGGTAGGAGGAAATAAGGCTGGGTCAGATTGTGGAGAGCCTTCTTAATACCAAGCTAAAGAGGTTAGGTTATTTCCGGCAGGCACTTGGGGTGCCGCTAAAGAAATTTGAATAGGGAGAAATATATGTTGCCAGAGGAATTCTGACTAGAGCTATAATTGCAGGGAAAGTAAGGCAAAGAGCAACTAATTGGATTCTCTATCACAAGTAAGATTTTGAAGGCCTTCCAGGTACAGTCAGTGGTGCTAGAAGCTTAGGGAATAAAAATGAATATGAGGGCTCCCCTGGTGGCACAGTCGTTGAGAGTTCGCCTGCCGAGCCAGGGGACACGGGTTCGTGCCCCAGTCCGGGAAGATCCCACATGCCGCGGAGCGGCTGGGCCCGTGAGCCGCGGCCGCTGAGCCTGCGCGTCCGGAGCCTGTGCTCCGCAACAGGAGAGCCCACAACAGTAAGAGGCCCGCGTACAACAACAACAACAACAAAAAAAAAAACAAAAAAAACCGTGATACACTGCCTACCTCTTGGGATCTTGTAGTCTATAGTAGAAAAGCATAAATGGTTAAATACATTATTCTAATACAGTGTAGTAAGTATGATGACAGGTTGATACAAAGACAGATGACCCTGAAATTTGGGTTTGTCGGGGGGTTAAGGGGAGTCAAGGGTGGCTTCAAAAAGGACTGATACCTGAATTATCCTGAAGGATAAGAAGGAATTAGTGAAACTCCCAGATTAAAAACATTAGCAAGAACGTTTTTTCTTATTGTTGTCAATTCTGCTGTTTTCTACAAAAATATAACTTGTCAAAGGTTCCCATTTACTGTTTTAAAAACAAAATAATAAGTTGTTCAAAATTCTTAGTCAGCCTTTCCCCATCCCTTATTTAAATTTTTTCTTGCCTCTGTCTGCTTCTTTAAATGCTTAATGGATTTTATGTTTATCTGTACCTTGGTCTTCACTAAGGAGGTTGGAAGAGAAAAGGAGGGTAGGGTGAAAGGCCTTCTAGACAGGGGAGATAGCCTGAACAAAAGCATATGTTGGAATATGTAGCAGTGAACAAAAGAGAATAATTTCAGCTTTCATGAAGATGTACAGCATACAGTTGCAAATAAAGAATTCAAGTTCCAAAGAACTTTATAATACAAATACAGATTTGGACACAATTTCTAAAAATGATAGGTAGGCTGGAGGAGTAGACGAGTTTGAGGTAAAAGATGTGGGGAGAGAAATCTTGGGGGGCAGAGGGCATGGGGAGAAAAAGTGGCCAGCAAAGACGACAGACAGCCTATATTAATTATCAACTTTGTGTTTTCTTTCCCCCGGGCTCAGATGGATAGCTCCCAGTTGATCCACTGTCGGGAGCTTGTGGCACATCACCTTTCTACTCTGCAGTCTTCCCTGCCTCTAAATTCCGTTTATGTCTACCGTCCCCTCAAGCACACCCTGGTGACCTGTGACAAAGGAGTGTTCAGATTACATCCCTCCTCTGCCCCAGGCCCAGATTTCTCCAAGGACAACAGCAAACCAGAAGTGCCAGTCAGAGGTACAGCAGCCTTCTACCATCATCTCCCAGCTGCCAATGGGTGCAAGCATACCTCTGCTAAACGCAAAGTAGAGGAAATGGAAGTGGACGACTTCTATGATGGGATCAAACGGCTCTATAATGAAGATAATGCTTCAGAAAATGTGGGTTCTGTGTGTGGCACTGATTTATCAAGGCAAGAGGGACATACTTCCCCTTGTCCACCTTTGCAGCCTGTTTCTGTCATGTAGCTCCAGGTGTTACCTTCAAGTGCAACCTAAGGTAGACTACTGTGGGAATGGGGACATGGAAAACAGGATAGGCTGTATAAAGGTATATACCTTACCAGGCTGATTCGAAATGAGCCAGAAAAAAAAAAAAACCTGTTGACTTGTATGGCTAATTATAATTCAACATTATTTAAGCACTTAAAGACCAAAAAAAGTGTAAAATTCAAGATCAAAAAATTTTTAACTAAAAAATTTCTTCGTAGTTTGTCGGTTCCACCCTTTTCTCTGCTAAAATGTAATGTAGATTACCCTGTGTCAGAAATTCACGTTCAGTGTTTTTTTTTTTTTAAAGTTCCAAAATTCCTAGCTAGCAGACCTTGTCCCAGAATCCTGATTTAATTTTCCTCTTGCTTTTGCTTGCTGCTGCTTTGAATACTAAATGAATTTTATGCATGTTGACCTATAGCCTGACTTCCACTGATGAGGAAACCCTGAAAATTTATTTTTAGCAATTTAGTGAACAAATTATTTCAGCGACAGCCATGTTTATAATCCATGATTCAAATTCAACTTAATCTGAAAAAGGTACTTCAGAATCGCCTGTGAATCAGAGTTGGTAACAGAAGAATTATTCCCATTACCATGTTGATTTTTGTTTGTCTCCTTTCAATTTCTAGAGTTTGGAAACAAAATTAATATTTTCATTTTTATCTTAAATTGAAGCTTAAAAGCGGCATGTGATTAGGACACTCTTAAGATTTGTTGGAAGCATTTTTGACATTTGTATAATAGAATTTGTGATAAAGTTAATATACCCAGGTGCTCACCAAAGAAACATGTAACAACTAAAATTAGATTTTAAAAAAACTGTTCAGTTCACTCATTTATAATCAGTAGGAGAGACTGTCTAGATGTTGGGGCAGCTCTATGATTTGGGTCTGTAACATGTAATAACTGAATTCAGTACCCTAGTTTTATGTTAAGCTATTAGGATTTACTTGATAAAAGTTAATCCCCCTGCCTCCCCAGCCTACCTGTATTCTCTTCATGACTTCTGGGTCCTGAGCTCCCTGTGCAGCCTGAAGAAGGTACTGCAGTCAGAACCATGTACTGATTGGTAGCAATAAAAGTTGTCCTTAACCTTTTTATCTCTTTTTTTCCTGCTTGTGAAGAAGTGCAAGTTCTTGATTAGTTAGGCACTGCTGTTTCAACGACGGAAGATGATAAAAATCCTAATATGCTTGCAGAAAATAAAACATGAAGAAAGGCGGGGATTTAAATGTGACTGAGTTTAGGTTTTGACATGTGGACTGTGACCTTCCAAACAGTAAATTCTTAGCTTAAGGAACTGTGACCCATATCTAGATAACCTGTCACTTTTAAGCCACCGATTTTGTTCTGGTTTAGCAGAGCAAGAGTATTCTCCGGTCAGCATTTGACTTTTAAATTCTTTTATGGTAGGGCTGGCTACCTGCTGTAGTCCAATCAAGGGGGGAAACTTACGTGTAAATAAGTACAGGGAGTGAGAAGGAATATAGAAGAATGAACTATTTTTGGGGTAAAGACAGCATGAGGCTGGCTTTGCAGATACACATAAAAAAAAAAAAATCCCACTTATCCTAATCTTCATCTGGTTCTGTTTCTTAGTTCTCCTGAATTGTGGGAGCTCCAGGAAGTCCACACTACAAATGTTCATCATTAAAATAAATGCTACGTAACCCCCCACCCCCTGTCACTTAACAAATGAGGAACATTTTTGTTATGTAGAAAGCTAGGGATAAAGTTGAGTCTAGAATCAGAATATTTCATTTGTGGTCCAGTTGCTACATACAGATGGTACAGAAGTTAGAACTAATATTTTAATTTCTTGATCTTGAGGCTTTCTAATCAAAAATGGATGGTAAGTCCGTTTGGAAAAAAGTATTTTCATGGGAAACTGAATTGGAATGGTTGGGCTGCTGCTAGGTCTCATGCCTCAAAGCTTATTTAACCCATAGATCAGTTAAATGATTGATAGTACTTTGGAGACCAGCCCCTCCTGAGCACCCTTTCAGTTACATCTCCCTGCCACTGTCCCAGAGACCTGAGCTACCATGAGCTCTTGGAGAACTTTGGCTCTCTGGGGCCTGAACTCACGGACTGAGACAGAAAAACGCAGAACATTCTTGAACAGTGTGGAACTTTTCATTAAGAATGTTCCTACTGTTAAATTAGATCCTGTTTTATCAGAAACTATGCTCATTAGCCTGTCCCAAGATACCTGTCTTAAATCTTGGCATCACACCACAATTACTCTCTTCCAAGATTTGGAAACTTGAGCTTTATGGATCACGATTGCCTGGTGCCTCCTGGTGGTGAGAAAACCTGTTATTCCACAAAGGCTCTGCAAAGGCAAGGGAATAAACATGATGGGAGAAATTAGTTATTCTCTAATCCTCCATTCAACAGAAGTGAAAGTGCATGCTCTAGCTCTTGAAGCTCTTACTAGGAGTAGCCGAATAATTACTTGTCTTCCAGGGTTGAAGTTCGTTACCTGTGGAGAACTGAGTTTTCTGCAGTGATGTGTTACATTAGTGTGGAGGGGAGGGCTGGGAAAGGAGAGTGCTCTCGAATGCCAGTTAAAAAGACTGATACAACTGATTTGCCAGAAATGTTCCTGACACCATGCCTTCGGCTCTGAAAGAAGCTATAGCGTAGCTCCTCACTTGGCCAAGCTGATGAGAATCGGAGCCTACAGTCCTGCCATTGAGGCAGTTAAGACATTGGCGTCTGCCCCCGAAGAAGTATTCTTTCTTTTCTCCTATGTTGTTAGAACCAACACGTATGTATGTCCTGTCTATTCTCTTTACATACCTGGATTTTCAGGATTTCTAATTCACTCCTTTGGAGTTCCTGAAACAAGAAAGTAAGTTGTCCTTGAGCATCACTGCCCGAAACAGCACAATGTGGTTAAAGCCACTGATGCTCAGCAAGCATAACGGGGAGCCTTGTTATCTTCATCCTTAAGGTAGTTTGTACATTTTCAACTGGAAAGGGAAGATACTGTGCCAGATGTCTTTCTTCACAAGCCTCCTGGGACATAGCAGGTTGAAGATTAGAGAATTGTCCACATAGCCAAGAATTTTTAACAAGGTTCAATTTCTGACTTACCAAATATAAAGGATAAAGCTCTGAGATACGATGTTTTGTCTAACATGTAACTGTTATTTCTAAAGCCTCCAAAATTGTTGAAACTAGTCTTTAAACTGTGTTAACAGGAGAATGTCTCCTATGCTCATTTATAATGTTTTGAGCTTTGGCCACTAGATGGTGCTTTTAGAAAAATAGAACATCTTTTTAAGTTTCAGGGAGAAACTGGGCTTACTGTGTGGGAATGAGCAGTTGAGCGCTCACCTCTTGTTGCTAAGCAATGCATCAGCATCATTTGCAGTTACAGGTTCACATCACGTAAGCCATAGGAGGCCTGTGCATGTGGGACTGAGGGAAATTAGCTATATCTGCCGTGGTTTGGGACAGATGGTGGCTAAGCATGTCTCGTACCAAAAAAAAAAAAAAAAGTTTTACAAATTAAAAATCCTAATACTTGTTCATTGTTCGGTCCTGCAAGATAACTTCGAAATGTGATTGAGAATACTTGAAAATAGCCAACTCCCAAAAGCTTGCTGCTTTCATTTTGAACTGGATTTGACCAATCAGTAGGACAGAAAAGATGGAAGTACAGGCTTTGTAGCACAGCTTGCATTAAGGAGTTAAAATGAAAGCTTTCCCTCACCATACTGATGAGTTTACAGACCTTCCTTTATTTACAGTGCGGTTACATCCCGATAAACTCATCGTAAGTTGAAAATATCCTTAAGTCGAAAATGCATTTAATGCATCTAACCTACTGAACATCATAGCTTAGCCTAGTCTACCTCAAATGTGCTCAGAACACTTACAGTAACCTTACAGTTGGGCAAAATCATTTAACACAGTCTGTTCTATAATAAAGTATTGAATATTCTATGGAATTTAGTGAATACTGAATAGAAAAACAATGCTTCTAAGTGTATCCGTTGTTTACGCTTGTGATTGCATTGGCTGACTGGGAGCTGCAGCTCGCTGCCACTGCCCAGCAAAATGAGCATCCAAACTGCATATTGCTAGCCCAGGAAAAGATCCAAATTCAGAAATATGGTTTCTACTCAATGCATATCACTTTCACACTATCATAAAACCAAAAAATTGTAAGTCCAACCATCTTAAGTCAGGGACCATCTGCAGTGGTTTTTATGATGTAAGACCCATGTGTAGCACACAGACATAACTCTCCCTGTGCCATCTCTTGATTATTGAAAAGGTGTCATGAGAGGTAACCAAGAACGTCTTATCAGAGAAATCTGAAGAGAGCACAAAACACTAGTGTTGAAGTTTCCAGGAGGCTGAACCTCTCCATTTCTCTTGACTCTTTAAGTACAACCTTCATAGCAGATCAAATGCCAAAACTGTTGACCTTATTGTGTTACACAACAGTAGGGCAGTGTAGAAAAGCATAGGCCCAGTAAACTGGTTTCTCATGCTCAGAAACAGCTTATTTTGTTAGCAAGAGAACACTCCAGAAAGAAGGGCAACCTTAAGAAAGAAACCACTGAAAAGCAATTGGGGGTGGAGGTGGGTTTTGCTTTTCAGAATACTATCTCTCACAATTTAGCATAGAAAGGGCTTACCTTTTCTGTTTACCCCCAGAATTTGCCGTGTTTGAGGTATGCAGAGAGACATGCAATTCATAGTGTGTGGCTACATCCACAGTACCTAATGTAGGCCTGGTGCAGTATATAGAATAAAAGTATTTGGGGGGGTGGTGTGGGAAAGATGGATGGATATAAATAAAGGGCAAGGAGAGCTAGAACTGCAACTCTTCAGTATTCTCAACGCACCGTGCAGAGAAGGCATGGTTAAGCAGAGTTCTTCGTGGAATGTTATTCTGCACCCTCCCCACCATACACAAGTTTTCCTTTTGACAGGGACCAACCTTGTGATAATAGCCTCTGCCTCCTCTGATCTAGGTGCCATGATTTTGAAAGGAAGTTTCCATAGTGGACTGAAATGCCATTCAACTCACAGCATGCAAATAACTGATTTGAGGCAGATGTGAAGTCTTCATCTGTACCTCCCACGATGTTCCACTAACAACCAAAAGATCTCATTTGTAAACAGCTACCTGTCAGAATAGGAAGGTTGGAAAGCGAGGTGAGCAGATACCGAGGCTCGCAATTAGTCTTTTTAGATTAACACATTCAACCTCTACACCAGCCCTGAGGGTGCCAGTTGTTTGCTAGAGATTGATCTGAAAGCCAGATGGTATCAGTCTCAAGGACTAAATACCATGGTCTTAAGGATTCAAGTACAAGGATCTTCAAAATGAGCCACATTGCCAACAATGTCAGTCTCCAGGGTGGAAAGATGACAGTCATCTGCAAAGCAAAAGGTTTTGTTTGCATAGAAATGTCATTTAAATACAGTGAAAATTATGTACTTAGTTTTTCAGATATCCAGAACTTTTACCCATAAGCTGGGACAATGATAGGCAGAAAAATAGCCAAAATAACTAAGAAGGACGTTTAGGTACAGTCGATGGGGAAAAGTATGGTCAAGCCTATTGCGAAGATGACCTAATTTTATCTGACCCAGCTCAGCACATACTAATTCAGATCAGGTCTCTCCTTTATACGTGTGCTGTGCCTATCTCAAGTAGACCATCTAGACTACACTCACTTTTCAGCAATAAGGACGAGTCTGTATCTGAAGCCGAGTAAGGTTTTTGTTTTAAAGACTGTATGAAAAATAAAAAGCCTATCACCAATGGAAATAGGTTCAGATGGCTCAGTTCTCCCTGCTTTCCAACAATCTAGCTTGAGATAAACGAGTAGTTTTTATTATTCGTATCTCTTAGTTGGTCAGCCAAGAGAACTCGAGAACCTACCAGTTTTATCAACATTTGAGAAAAGGAACCACCTTAAGTAAAATGCCAAATCAATGGAGGATAACTGTGTACTTGACCAGTGGTGTCTGTTATCCACTTTCCCTAGATAACTGAACAGAGGCCGACCTGCGTGTAATAGCCAGTTCCCTCGCCCCTCCCATAGATGATTACCATTACACTTCCTCCAACATGAAGATTAAAAAGGGAATAACAGATTACACATTCCTCTACTTAAACAAACAAAAAAAATACTGCCTAATTTGCTTTTTAAATATTGCCCCAAAAATGTCTTTACAATCTGATGCAGAATTTACTTTTAAAATATGAGTGATAGGGTAAAGTTGATATTAAAATATTAAAAGGAGTTTAAAAATAAATCCACTTGTTGTACTTAGTAATCACAGTGGTTTCACACAATAGGATGTTTGTGTTTAACTTACAAAACTGACAGTATGTCACGCTGTAGCATCAGTTAAGGAGTTGATACCCACCATCCACCCGCAAACCAGCGGTCACATCATTAGCAAACTTCCGTCCTTACAGATTACACTGTAGTGTGGAGGGGATGGCTCTTGACTCTTATATTTTAATCATTTAATGGCTCAGATGAACCTGATTTTATTGCATTTAATAATAGTGTCTTTCTAAGTAAAGAAGGCCCCTTGCCAGCAAGCTCCTCCAATTGGTCTAAATAACCTCTTCCAAGAATCAAATGATTCAAGAAGCAGGGACTGTTGCTTCATCATTTCACCTTTCAACAGAAGCATATGTTACCATTCTTAAATACAAGGGAACACTCTTAAGATCTTTACCAAATGCAATTCACGCCACCAATATCCACTTACTATGGGGCTAAAAAATGATGGAAATAAGCAGACTATTGACAAGTAATGAAATGAAAAGGTAACTTAAAATGCGTGTTCATGCCTTAAAATAGAAATGAATTTGAAAATTGTACCTTGACTACAAAAACTGCACCTAAGAGGCGGCTGCTAATAAAATAGCCTGTCACAAACGAGTCAGCATTAGAACTCATACTCAACTGGCAGAAGTGTGTGTGTTTGCATGTGGGTGTATTTTAAGTGATTTCCAGATTTTTTTTTTTTTTTGCAGACACAGTGGAGTAAGCCACCTGATCAGAACCAACGTTAAGTTAATGTTGCTGTTGTCTGGGACAGGATATGTACTTGTCGGGGGTTTGTTTCCATGGTCCAGGACACACAAAAACTGGACGCAAGGTAAAGAAGAGCTTCGCAATAAATAAAAAGGCAGGGATGGGCCAGAAAGTTATTTTAAGGTACCTTTAAATATAAATTGAGTCCCAGAGGCAGAAAAGTCATCTACCTAACACTGGCACATTTTAAACATGATTAAGACTTGTAGGTCAAAATCCCAGTGACAGCACAGGGATTTTGTTGTTGTTGTATCTGAGATGAGGAGAGCATCTTAAACAGAATTCTGTGACTTAAAACTTCATTTAAATTTCCCCTTGAGCTTAAAATTGGCATAATTTTGATACCAAAACTAAGTTTGAATAACCAATACATAAAACGGAACTGGCTAAGTAGGAAAATTTTTTTTTTTTTCCAAAACAGAATCCCAAACCCCGAAAACTTAGATGAGGGGTGCAGGTAACAGAAAAAGAGTCAAATAAAACAACAATGGTTCCTGAATTTAAAGGAAGGATGCCCACTTCTCTCTCTCAAGAGGCAGACGGTCAGCTGAAAAATAAAAACATTGTATCAATAGAACACTCCAAATTAAAAAAATGCAGCCATCTTTGTTCATGCAATATCAAATGTTTAGAAAAAAAATCCCAAACTTCAAAACAACCCACAAAGCTAACAAAAGGAAGGAAAATTGTTGCCCCGATCTTATGACCTGATTGACGATAGAGGGTCCTGATCGGGCTGTTCAGAATGTCACTCATGGGACAGAGGTCTGGAGTTAACATGAGATCAAGTCTGTGGACCCTCAGATTAGGGTCCATGCTGTCTTCAGTCCATGAGTTCTTGGGTCAGCAGCTTCAAGAACATGACAGCTAAACAAGAGGATCCCAACACAGGGCTACCCTGGGTTTTGGCCCAAGTTCTCTGTTTCACTCAATTTCCTTTTAAGTAGTAGTATTAGGTATTACTGTTTTTGGTGGTGATAAGTCACTTAAGTAACCACTATGGGCAGTGGTTTGTAAACAGACATTGACAAATACAAACAGCAGTGCAATATTTGACCCAGACTTTAAAAGAATAGGAGGCGATGGTGGAAATGAGGTAACTCTTCCCCAACACGTGTGAACAGACAGCTCCTGCTCTTCTAATGCTCTATGTCCATTAGGAGAGAGTAGGGCTTGTCAACAGGATGGTTACATAAAGAAGAAGCTACAGAAGAGAAAAAAGAAAGGTTCAGATTCAAATTTGATTCTTAAAAGGCTTAAAAAAAAAAAGGAGCTTCTCTACAACAAACTGTGAAAGAACAGCAGTGTGTCAGTAAAGGGATGACTTCCTCAAGCCCAGCTGGGGGGTGAGCTGCAGCGCCAGCACCGGAGGCCAGGGAAGAAGAGGACGCCTCAGCTGGGGCAGTGGGGCGCTAGTCAGGGTGGAAGGGGACGGGAGTCAGGGAGAAAGGGTGGCAGAGACAGTAATATGACGTACAGGACATCACGTGGCAAGCATCTTGGAGGAGCTGGTGCTGCCCAGATGGTAGCATTTGAAGTCCAGACAAGGTAGAAAAACACGAGACTCTTTCATCCCTATTTCTTTTATCCAATATTATAAGCATGTGTACATTTGCATGTCAAACAGTGACTAAAAAGAACTCACAAAAGGGCACACAATGTTTGGGTAAAAATATATTTTCCCCCACTTCATGTCTTGGCACTAGTGATATATGCATAGATTACCTGTCCGCCACTCTCCTACCTTAACAGACACCAAATTACCAAGCAAGTTTGCTAAGTGATTACTTTCATACTTGAAAAAATGATATGCTTCACATTAATACAATTATTTTAGTTTTTTAAAAAAGACAAGTGTCTAACATGCAGTTTACACATATGACAACTCTGCATTAACACTGCAAGTAGATTACACAACAGTTTTAAAAACACATTGGTTATTTTCAAACAGCAAAATGACGATCTACAACTACAGTTTAAGGCATATCAGCATATTTTAAAATTAAGAAATAGACAAAGTTCTAATGCTGTTCACACAGCTTAATCTTCAACTTATTTTAAAAATTCCCTTCATACCTACATACGATCTAGACTTTGTACGTCATCATTTCCCCTAAAGAGTCATCACATATGTATCCTGTCAATGGAACCGAGACTTCTGGAAGCTGAGACTTGACAACTTCAGACACTTGCAAATGGGAAAGCAAAGGGATCTGAATGGACAGTTTTGGTAGGACCACACAGAGACAGTATGACACGGGTTGGTAACAGCTGAAAAACCCGATTCAACAGTTTGTATATGAAACACTTATGGATATGTCAAGAAAGTGAGGAAACCGAGTCTTTGTGAGGTGCACAAGATATGAAGTGTTACTGCTGGTGAGATCACAAAGCAGAGAAGGAAGGTGAGTAACCTGTGCCCAGCATTTTGTTAAATGTTCCCCTGGTTGAGGTGACCTTTCTGGATAAAACCTTGACCAATTAATAAAGAGCCTAAGTTGGGAAAACATAGTCTCTAAACTGCCAGTAAATTCTCCTAAGTGCTTTTCCATCACATCCTACCGCACTTACAACTGTTATGGGCATCTAAAGTCCAGAAGAAGCAAAAAGATGGTCATTATGGTTGAACAAAAGATGTGGGGAGAGGCCAGCAAGAGCTCACCAAAAAAAAAAAAAAAAAAAAAAAGGTGCTCCCTGCCAGTAGTTAGCACAAGGGAAAGACCATTAAACCAAGATCACCAAAAATTAAGCAATCATAAAGGGAGCCTAGCATTAAAAAAAATTTCCTCTTGCTTTTTCTCTAGTGGAAGGTAGTAGTTTCTCATTCTAACTTTACTTACACAGTCAGAACCAAGGACCCTCTGGGAATTCCCTGGCAGTCCAGTGGTTAGGACTTCGCGCTCTCACTGCCGAGGACACAGGTTCAGTCCCTGGTCAGGGAACTAATATCCCACAAGCCGCGCGGTGCAGTCAAAAAACAAAAAACACCGAACCAAAACAAAAAACCTAGAAAAAAAAAATGAAACACTAAAAACCAAAAAACAAAAACAAACCAAGGACCCTCTAATATCCAATGAACCCACAATGCTGTGTAGAACAGACTGGGGTTAGTAATTTCTGACTTGCACATGGATATCAAGGAAAAGTCAAATCTCTGTGTTTCTTGTAAAAAAGATATAAATGTGAGCCATTTAAAATATATTTAGGTTTTTTGTTTGTTTGTTTTTTAAAAAAACAAAGACTACTCAAACCAATACCTCCCTACCCCCCTCCAGGGGAAAAAAAAAATCCATCTATCCCATTTGTTTCTCTAATTTTAAAAAGTCAAAAAGGTCTCAAAGGTTTTTTACTGCCGTACTTACATGCAAAGGCGAAAGCACATCCAATTAGATTTGAGGGTATCATTTATTCCGTGCAGAGCCAAGGACTACTGTGAAAAAAGGCACAGATACAGAAAGAAGAGAGGGCAGCAATAACAAACCAAACAGGGCCAGGGAGCAGGGGCAGAAAAAAGTTCAGAAGCAATGCATTTTTTAAAAAAGCTTTTATATGTTTTCTTTGACTTTTTATTCCCTGACTCTCCACATGATTTATTTTTCTGTGAAAAATTTAATGGGAAAAGAAAAATCAATCCAATCAATCAACAATCTTGGAATCAAAAAGTCAGCTGGATGCCTTTTGTGGCTAGGCTCACTTTAAAAAGGCTTTAGTGATGCATGTAAAACGAAAATTTTAAAGTGATGCATTTTTAGAATTTAGAAGTGTATTTCCTGTTACAAGGCACGAAAATGCTCACACAAGCAATGGCTGGAACAAGCATAACAACACAAGTATTCAAGCTTCTGTCCGGTGCACAGCATCTGAGCAAACTCGGCCTATGGTTAGAATCAGCATGCTGCCTGATAGCCAGCTTCAGACTAGAATCATTAAAAAAGCAAAAGCAAAAACAAAGACATTGGTCCAGGAGCTCCTAAGCCTGTCTTTATATCACGATTGCTTCTTCTGGTTTGCAGTTTGTATCCCAGCTTAGTTTCGGCTTCCATGAAACTGATTTCTTACTTTGCCTAATTAAGCCTAAATCAGTTCATGGACGACCATTCCTTCTGTCCCATAATAGTGTGGTTGAGGATAAAGAGAAGGGAAAAAAGTCTTCATTGGAATCAACTAGAGACTTATTTAAAAAAAAAAAGTGTGTGTAGGTGTGTGTGTATTCTATCCTATTTGATTAATGTATGACTAGTGAAGGCCAAAAGGAAAATGCAGAGGTGAAGTATCAGGTTCATGAGAAATGTTATTCTTTCAAGTAAGAAACAGGAGACTACGGAGTTAGAGAGAAAGCTGCGAGTATCTTGTTATTAGAGGGGGGAAAAAAAAAAATCAAGGAAATGAAAGGATAAGCCTCAAAAAGGAAAAGTACCGAAAAGAAATTAGATATGCCCTTTTCCATACAAATTTGGCATGTAGTCTATGTCCTGCCATATGGTTAAGTCCTAACCCTTGTTGATGGGGCACTGGGGCCTTAAACGCAAAGAGCAGGTAGAGCTAGTCTTCGTGAAGGAAAAGGTGAGGAACTTCCTTCAAGACAGCTGGATGTGAAAGACCAGCTGTTCTATTCCATCATACCTTTACTGCAAATATCAAAAAGAGACTATGCAAGGAAACTGGATGTGAAGCTGAATTTCTGCTTTCTTGACTTGTGGGTTTATACTGTGTTCCTTCCCATTTCTACCTTAAGTTGACAAGGCCCCTCAAACTTGTGCTGCAGATGACACAGTTTATAACAGATTTTCTGTTTTAAATATTGCTGGAAAATTTCTCCTCGTAATTATTGAAAACTGTTACTAGAAGCACTCGATACCCTGGAATCAGTCATTAGGCCCTCCTCTCTCAGCCTACTGAGAGCAGATTTAGGTGTGTTTATGAAAAGACTGGATCTTGTAAGTAGTAGGCAGGTTGTGGAAAGCCCGTCATCCTTAGTAGAAGATTCTTCTACTAAACAAGGTTGTATGATCTGTGAGAGGGCCATGGTTGCCCCGATACAAGGGAACAGACTCATCATTTTCTTATTACAACCCCACTTGGCCAGGATTTGAGACACAGGGGTTCAGACACATTTTTAAAGCCATAAGAGGAGACAGTCAGTCTGAACAGACCCACAACCCAGGCCAAATGATGTTGTTATAAGTAATAAAAAAAATCCACGCAAGGGTAAAAGTCAGGTAAAGCTTACCCACCGTTCTGCCTACATACAAAGCTACCTTGGTTCGGGGCAGGTGTGGAGAAGAGACAGAGGGAGTTCAGGGCCTTTTGCGTCATGGAGACGAATAATGAAGAAGAGCACGTTGTCGTGGCTATTCAGGTTTATAGTCAGCTGCTGAGGCGGTGAAAAGTTTGCCTGTCAGACGTACATGTAGCAATTTAGCCTCCTTCCCTTGGTCCAAAGCAACATAAAAGTAACAGAACAGGCATGCTTCCTGCTGCCACTCTGAACAGGCATAAAAGGCAAATCATTTGCTTTCCAGAAACAAAGTCCGGCTGCACATAGCTTTTGCTGTTATCCCCTTGTTCTATCATTTTCCACCACCAAACAACATTCAGCAAAATGAGTTAATAGTTATATGGTGTCTGGGAAAGGGAAAAAAATAAAAATAAAACAAAATAAAAGGACACAGATGGCAGAGATACAATATTACTGCAAAAGCAGGTGAATGCGGACCATCCTTGGCTTGCCAGGCTTTATGTGAAGCTTGCACTGCAAGTTAAAAAACAAAACAAAAAAGTTAGAAATAATAATAAATTAAAAGAAGGAAAATTAGGAGTGCCAGCACCAGCATTTGGTGATGGTGAATGCTCATGCAATGATTATGGAATTGACAGAAATTAAAACCAAAAATTTGAGTAAGCTATTCTACATGACAAGCAAAAGCAAAATTTTAATATTGAATTAAAGAACACGTGGTTAGTTTCCATTTGCAGGTAATTCAGAATTCATGAGTGACTTCTTGAAACCACTACATGTTCTAGTGAAAGGATTTGCTGTTTGACTTTCATCTTCTCAAATAACACAAAACCATTATCTATTAGATTTGGGTATCACATCGGTACTGAATATACAATAAATGTCTTTCAACAATTAACTTGGGGATTGGAATATAGTGGATGGAGGACATGCTATTAATCTACTTGGGAGGGGAAAAAAAAAAAAAGGACCATCATTATATGGTTACAGCTAAAGCAATGCCCGGAGCCTTCCCCCTCCTCGGTATAAAGCAATGCCAAGTCCAAGATTCACATGTCTAATTTGAGGCAAGTCCAAAACATGCAACTTCATTCCTTAGGAAGAATCAAAATATTATTTTAAAAAAGAAAAGATGAGTGGATGATTGTGTGAACTATAGTTATCAGATGCCAGGTACCGTTTTAAAATGATAGATTTTTAAAACTTTGTTTTTGGAACTGCTGGCCGGCAACTGTGCAGAGTTTTCAGAAAAGATGAACACTGAACAGCTACCAAACAACTTACCCTCAGGCACTCCCACCACTGAGGTGTAGCCGCAAACAAGGAAAGTGACTTGGTGGCCAGAGATGGCAGGAAGCGGGGCTCCAGCTAATGGCAGTGCCAGGGTTAGTTCTACCTTGTCTGTAATCTTAGGAAATGTTATATGCTCTCATGCCACTAACAGGTCAAGGAGAAGTACAAAGCCTTACCTACGTTAAAGAGGGAGCGTGTCATTAGAATAGAAAAAACGGAATTTAAAACTATTAGAAAAACGAAGTGAAGCTCTGAGGTGGAAGCATGGCAGGTGAATCAATACGCATCTCTTTTTAAACTCTCTCCCTGGAGAAGCTCCTAAGCAACAAGTGTGGTGACTCCAGCCTGTCCTCCAGCTACACGAGGAGGAAAGAGCCTCCCATTTATTTTCCAAGAACTGTTCTGGTTACCCTGACTACTGTCTGTCTGTGGTCCTCTCTAACCAAAACTCTCCACTGGCAGCAAGGGAAGTGATTTTTTTTTTTTTAAACTTTGACACTTCAGGCCTCCAACTGGCAACTGCTTTCACTGTTCAAATGGGAAAGTGTGGAAAAGCTTAAGAACATAGAAGTTACCGAAAAGTACGCGCCCTCGTCAGGCACAAAATCTGGTGACTACTGCTCACCAAATTAAGTCTAATTCCATTAATAATAAATGAGAATGTATAAATAAGGCTAAAATAGAATTCGCACACACTTCACATAAACGTGAAATGCATTATACACTGCTAAGGCCCAAGGCTGGGAAGAAAATAACCTAAAATGTTCTATAGGAAAAGAAAAACCTCCCTGCACGGAGAAGTCCGTTATTAGATACTTTTTAAAATGGAGGCACAATACTGGTCAGCTCTCGGAATTTTTATTGCTTAAAGGCACATCCAGTACACATGAAATACCCTTGGAACATTGCTGGTCTTCTATAAACATTTTAAGTTCTGAAACATGTACCTTTACGCACTTTAGTGCTTCAGGGTAAGAAAAACTCAACTTTGGGTTTCCTAAACCGTGAGTCAGCAGCTTTTTCCTGTTTCATTCATGCCTATAGATGTGTACACACACACACACACACACTCCACCTGTTTTTATCCTGGGTTAGTTTGGATCAACAAGGAATGATGCCAGATGGTTTTCGTTTTGTCTTCCCTGGAAGAGTCACTAATGTCTGAATCTGCATGGGAAACGTCACCATTAGTGACCGATGCCCTCCCAACATGTGTAGCTACAAAGTGCTTTCTTGAACTGGATTATAATCTAGGCAGTTGTTACTCTCAGAATCAATCCAGCATAACTAAATTTTTGGCCCCTGGAGTCCTTTGACCACGTGGGTCTGTACCAACCCCATTTAAATCACAGCTTACCTATACCAACTACTTTCTATTGCTTAGAAAATCTGCTGGCTCCCCTGCTCTCTCCATACATTTCCTGCTGGCTCAAAGCTTGGAAAGTCAAGGTTTGCAAAGCAGAATTTCAAACTTTCTCTGTACGTCACTGTAGCAGTGCATTTTGGTTTCTACCACAGGAAACGTAACAAGATTCCTCAGGGACAAGTCTGCACGTTCATTCAGATTAAGTGAACACCACTATCGAGCTCACTCCCCCGGGATAGGACTCGATTACCGTGCAGGCTCAATCCTATCTGCCATATATGTCTAAGAATATAATTCTTTGCTTACTCCAGTACCAACATTTTTATTGTTTACTTAGTTGTCAGCCTTTGCCCTAGAACCTTAGCAATGGATGAAGAGCAGGAATCCTGAAACACGCCCTCAGAGGACCACACCTTAAACAGACAAAGCAGGGTGGCATCCATGGGCTCACCACCCAGCTAGCACTAAGGTTTTCTTCAAAGGTATCTTATTGACCACTGTGCTTACTGTCAAACCAATAGTAATTGTCATAAAATGGCACCCTCTAGTCTTTCAGGTGATTTGATGTAAAGCTTCAAATCACAGCAGAATTTCAAGGAAGGCCCAAATCTCCCACTGGATTCAGGCCGCTGCTATTGGAGTATCATAGGAAGCGACAACTCAAAAGCAGAATCTGACCCTTTGGCACATTAAATCAAGGCCATATTTTAAAAAAATTTTGTGCGGGTACAGGTGTGTCTTGAGAATTGGTGGAGGTGTCTTAACGGGCATTTTGATCCCATTTTCACAATAAAACGATTCATCGTCTTGTGGAATTTAGAGGGAAAACTAGTGGCCACTAGTAGTTCTTCCAAATCTTTCATTTTGGGAACAAGACTTTCAATGACTGGCTTCTTAAGCCTTACAACAGAGAATAGAAAAATAATTCTAACAATCGTAATTTTAGGATGCCCTTTATCAAGAGCCATGAGGATTGTCTCCAGAGAGTAGTGAAGAGAAATGCACTGTCTTCTCAAGAGTCCTAGTGTTGGTGCAGAAGATACTACTGGAGATGACAGGTTACTCCAGTCCTGATTGCTTGATCGTGTGGTCAAGTTTTATAAATTAGTGTCTGTGTACCCTTTAGAAATACTTTAAAAACCTTTGTCGTCTCCCCTGCACTGTAGAGAAAATTCTTGCTTTTATCTTTCTGGTAATAGACCAGTTTCCAGTCTGTAAATGGGAAAAGTAGAGACATGCAAGAGGAATAAATTGTTAGAGGGCCCCGCTGCATGGGGGTGACACCCGCTTACTTTTTCTTATCCTTGTCTTTCTTGGTTTGCTGGGCCCCAGACTGCTGGGCCTGGGACTGTAGCAACTGAGCTGCCGCCTTCTTCTTCTGGAAATTGTTCACCTCCTCCTCGAGTTCCTTCTTCTTGTCTTCCACTTTCTTCTTCTCTTCTTGGTGTGTCCGCTTTAGGAGGTCGAACTTCTCGTGGAGCTGGAGAGAAGAGGAGGAAGACAAGCTTGGTGGAGGGAATGGTACGCTTACTGGCGTAAGGCTACCTGGATCCGTTCAGAGGCAGAACGTGTGTGTGCCGCTGCCCGTGCTTTAGTTACACGAGTGAGGTACCGTCTGGTGCTGAGCCAGGCCGAGGTGGTGAAAAGCATCCCTTGGAGCCCTACACACTGTTGAAACTTGGACCCCTTAGCACTAAGGGGAACCTCTGTGCACTTTTTCTGATAATAAAATACGTGTTCACTGTAAAAAGCATAAAGGAGAAAATAAAAATTATCCATGCTCCTAATAAGAAACTCACCCTAGTAGTAAGAAAAGTTCTTTACTTCTGGTCCTTTTTTGAAAAGTATAATTTACTTAGAGACTTACACAGTGACTACAGATATATGTACCCATACTATTCAAATAAGAAGAGTATGTGGAGAGATTTCGGGCACTTGACAAACTGAATTTAGAAAATTATCACAATGCAGAAACAAAAACTGGAAGGGGGCTTCCCTGGTGGCACAGTGATTAAGAATCCACCTGCCAATGCAGGGGACATGGGTTCGAGCCCTGGACCGGAAAGATCCCACATGCCGCGGAGCAACTAAGCCCGTGCGCCACAACTACTGAGCCTGCGCTCTAGAGCCCACGAGCCACAACTACTGAGCCCGCACGCCTAGAGCCCGTGCGCCACAACAAGAGAAGCCACTGCAAGGAGAAGCCCACACACCGCAACGAAGAGTAGCCCCTGCTAGCCACAACTAGAGAAAGCCCGCGCACAGCAACGAAGACCCAACGCAGCCAAAAATAAATAAATAAATTTATATTAAAAAAAAAAACTGGGAGGGAGGGAGGGGGAAATCCTTACTATTTAGATAATTCTAGAATTTTTACCTAGCATTCAACTTGATACTTAAAGCCAACAGCAAATAAGGCTCAACTTTCCTTTCTCTGCAGCAAAACTAGGGTGAGTACTTAGCTATTTAAATAACCTCTAAGTTTCTTATTATCTACCATCAAAGGCAAGCCTATTTCTTGCTCTCATTGGGGTGACTGTTACAATAGAAATCCATGGGGCCTGATTCCAAGTGATGTTTGCTCAGATAAACTCTTATGAATGGTAATGTGCCTCAGTTTATCTTTTTTTTTTTTTTTTTTTTAATTTCTGGCCACGCTGCACAGCATGTGGGATCTTAGTTCCCTGATCAGGGATTGAACCCGTGCCCCCTTGCAGTGGAAGCGCGGATTCTTAACCACTGGACGACCAGGGAAGTCCCTCAGTTTATCTCTTAACAGGGTAAAATGAGTAATATTCATTGAGCTATATCAGCTAAAGAATTAATTGGGTCATTTTAAAATCTGAAGAGAATTGACTTTTTAATTCTGAACTCTGCTAAAACTGTATCTTATTATAATGAAAATATTACTTAAAATGAGATCAAGTTACTACTCATCATAATGTGAAATAATCTGTGCATCTGAAAATACTCGTCGTTATTTCATTTTATAATATTCTGTGCACACGTTTAGCCATGTATTTAGGGTATTACATATAAGAAACAAATATAAGTAAAAAGCATGCATTTACATTTAATCAAGTGACCTTAAAAGTTTCCACACTTCATTAATCTAATGGCAACTAAATTAAGTTCTTGGTTTAATTTAAATAATGGGTACATTATAATGAAATATACATTCATCTGTGCAGTTTTAGGCAGATTTTGTGTGCTTAAAATATTTTAAAGTGATAATTTACTTGTGTGTCTCTGTGCTTAATTATTACAAACAACTTTGTTCCATATCAAAAGTGATACACCGGGCTTCCCTGGTGGCGCAGTGGTTGAGAGTCCGCCTGCCGATGCAGGGGACATGGGTTCTTGCCCCGGTCCGGGAGGATCCCACATGCCACGGAGCGGCTGGGCCCGTGAGCCATGGCCGCTGAGCCTGCGCGTCCCGAGCCTGTGCTCCGCAATGGGAGAGGCCACAACAGTGAGAGGCCCACGTACCGCAAAAAAAAAAAAAAAAGATACACCAAAAACTATACTTTGTGTTTCAAGAAACTTCTCAAAATAAAACTTAAATAATCAATAAACACTTCTTTAGAAATAAAAAAGGAATCCAAGGTAACCTCTAGGATGCAGCTACCCTGGGCTGGGGGCGGGGAACTTGAGTCAGCAGGACACTGGAGCCAGGGGTGTGCATCCCAGAGGGAAGTCAGAGCACAGACATGGTGGACAGAGCCCGTCCCCCGTCAGACAGGGGCGAAGGGCCCTCCACTCCTTAGCTCACTGAGTTGACTGGTAGAGTGAGACAATAATGGTCCCAGAATTGCAAATCTTACGTTTCATCACTTGTAAATTGATGAAATATGGAGTTACAAGGAATGTAGGATCAGGTCTGGAAACCTAAGTTCTAGCTTTAGTCTTGGCTTTGCCACTAACTAGGTATGTGACTGCATAAATAACCTAAGCTTTACGACACTCAGTGTTACCATCTGTGAAATGGGGATAAGACTGGCTGCCCTACTGTTCGTACCAGGTTAGTTAGGCCCCTCGTGTGACAGAATATATGTAGCAAGTGCTTAAAGCAGCACAAAGGCCTGTCTCGTCTGTGTCTGCCCCGGATGCAAGGACAGATGGCTTACCTCTTTCTCTGCCTCTTTAAGTTCAGCTTCTTTCTCCTTCACTCTCATGACAAACATCTGTCTCATTTCTTCTTCTTTCTTCTGAAGTTCTCCCAGAAATTCATTCCTTTTTGCTTCATATGTCTCCTGAAGACTATTCAAAAGCCACAAACCAAGGACAGTGTCATGAAGTTGCATGATAAGAAATTTCAGTCCAGACAATTCCTACGCAGCCACTTCCTCAAAATAAATAAGGCTGCCAACTCACCAGGTTCAAGGACACACAAAATGGCACCATCTTTCTTTTTAGTTATGTGGCGATCAGAAAGACAAGCACATCAGGAACCAAAGATGAGGCAATAAGTACAGTGTAGCTAACGGGATGTCTCCTACTGGCCAAGCTGTATGCTACATACATTCACACAGGGGAAGCCTGGGCTGGCCAGTATCTCCCAGTTCAGTACCACGTAGATACTGAAGACGTGATTTAGAATTTTAGAAGACGGAGGGGGTGTAGAGAGAGAAATGCATCGGCACTGGAGCCAGACAGATCCACCAGGGTTGGTTTGGGGTTCACAGCAATTTACTGACTGATCTTCGGAAGGGCACGGCCTCTCAGCCTCAATGTTCTCTGAATATAGCGCTTCCGGGGCCCATGATTTCGGGAGGTAAATGTAGGCAGAGTGAGTAAAGCATTTGAGATAACATCGGTGCTTAATAAATGTTACCCCCGCACTCGTCTTCCTCCAGCCCCCAGTTTAGAAAACAGACTCAGTGAATCATCTAAAGAGACAATAGTGTATCTAAAGGTATTACAGAAAATTGCTGCTCTTCAAGTGGTATTAACAATTGTAAATAGATCAGGGAGGAGTTGGATTTTTATTTTAAACCTTATCCTCCCCCTGACCGTCTACAGAACTTGGGGCCCAATATTTTAAAGCAAAGGCCATCACTCAGTTTTACCTCCAAGTCAGAAGAGATATATTTACAGAAAAATCACCTTTGGTAACACCACTTAGAAAAAAAACAGACACCCACACCCACACTTACACAAACAGAGATACATTTGCCGGTAATTGCTCTCTCTCTCTCTCCCTTGCAGTTTCCCTAGAACAAGGGTTGTTACAGTTACACAAGTCTGCAGCAGGATTATCCACTTTTACCCAGGGACCAAATTCATCCAAAGTGCTGATTCCAAAATGAAGAGCGCCTGTGCGTGAGCCCAGGTTCCATGCAGAGCCACCCCAGCATTCACACTTGTCCATGTAGAAGGAGAAGGACATTCAGGTGGTGGAGGGGCGTGTGCATGTGGATATACGTTTCTATAGAGCAGCATACTTACAAAATGCATTAATTAGAATTGTTTATACTTCTATAATCAATGCTCTTATTGGTTGCTGATCAGTTCTCCTGCCCTCAAGAGTGTCAACACTGCCTGGGTAATGGACAATCACGAGTTTGGAGTTTCTGGAGGTATATTTGGCTTTCACATTATCTTAGGAGACAAAAGCAAGTTTGGCCGACATTAGTGTTGGCTAATATTAATAGCAATATTTAGACTTGAAATTTAAGCTATAGAGAAATGCACGGATAATGAAACTATAAAATAATTCATGAGTTTGATTTTGCTTGTTAGCTTCTAATAAACTCTTTATCACTATCATTTGTGTCAGAATGGCCAAAGGCAGAAGATGACTTGTCCCTGCTATGAAATTTTTGGGGAACCCAGTTTTTATTGATTTTAAGACAATGAATCCATCTTCCTCTTCTTTCTTAACAAGCAGTGGAACACCTAGTATAGAAACACTACCAAGAAACATGACCCAAAGTGTGTTCCAGAGATCGCTAGTTTCAAGAAATCTTCAAAATTGGGGTTCCCAAGCCAAAAGAACAAAAGGAAAATGCAATGTGTGACCTCCCTTTAGGAGAGCCACAGCGCACGGTGGCTCCCAAGCCCTGCAGCACGTCAGGGTCGCCTGGGCATGTTTTACTGGACTTTTCTGAGCACAGTTTCCTAACTCCACTCCTGGAGATGCTGACGCAGGGTGTCAGGCGAAGGCAAAAGTAATCTGTATTTTTAAAACGCTTCCAGGTGACTTGATGTAACTAGTCTGCCAACCACTGCTCGTCTTAAGTGCTCTGAAAAGTCCCTCAATTAAAAAAAAAAAAAAAAACCTGTTTAAGTTGATTCACTTAGAGCCAAATTTGTTTAATTGTGGAAACTTCTGTTAAGTGACCCACAGAGAGAAGGTCCTTTGGGTAATGCTACCGGAATTCTGAGACCTCTCAGCGTGACTCGACCTGATCCAGTCCCAACCACAACCTAGCTTAGGCTCCAGTTTCTGGAGATCCATTTTCAAACTACGGGTTACGACCCAATCAAGGGTTTTAACCAGTATGTTAAAAGAAAAAGTTTAGAGAACAGGATAGAAGAAACCAGAATGCAGTGCAAACTCTAAGAGCAGGTATCACTTCACGATATGTGTATATTGGATCACGATGTAGAACACATTTGATAGTGAAGGTTGCAGTCCAAAGCTGGAAAGCGCATGTTCTAGAGAAAGGTTAAGGAGCAATGTTGCCACCAGCCAGATGGCCTCAACATATGCTGCTTATTAGATGGCTGCATCCGGGGATAGGAACCAGCTTTGCATCTCTGACACTGGAACTCATAACCAACGTATGAGAAGGAAATCATAAACCCCCCACTCCAAGGAGTGACCTGCAGTAGGCTTCTTAGCAATGCAGTCACAGATCCTACTCCCTGGGCACCTGCAGAAATCCACATGTGAGTGAGAGACACCAGACACCCTCTCCTATGCTTCCGGCCAGTGAAAACCAGTCCAGAAGGAACTGCATCTATAGTACCCTCTCAGATACCTAAAGTGATGATACCTTTTGCAATTTCTAGCTCTTCCAACTTAATTTTTAATTGTAGTTATTAACACCCTTTCCAAGTGAAAAGTGAACCATTTTTTCATGAGGGTTTGGGCTGGTTTGAGGCTTTTATCTTCTCATTCTCTTCTAACAGCTTTTGGGAGAGAAAGGCTTTGCTCATGGAGGTCAAGGGAAGGGAAAATGAGCACTGACACTCCAGTTCATCGTGCACTCCGGTAATTCACGTAGCACAGCTGTCTCCCTGTTACGTCTCCCGGACCACCCAGTGGGGGGCAGGCCAGAGCACCGCACGCCACCGGGGTTTACGGAGGAACTTACACACGCAAATGTGTTATCCTTACAACAGCGCAGCGAGGTAGCTATTATTATCACCTCCCATTTTATACATGGAGAAACTCGGACACAGAGGGGCTTACTAACCTGTGCAGGTCACACAGTGAAGAACTGACAGAGCCGGGATTTTCAGCTGGGCCACCTAGCTCAGGTGGGAGCCCCACCTCCCAAGGCTGGGGAAGTGAGGCCTCCATGCTCCTAAAAATGAATGGTCTCATGGGCCTGAAAACTTTGTGATTTCTTGAGAGAGGGGCAGTAAAGGAGCACTTTTTGTGACCTGACAGGTAGAGTCAAGGAGAAGGTGGTGCTTTGAGGTGAGGATGGAGTGTTAGGAAGAGGGCGGTGGCATCTCAGGAGACAAGCAGCAGCGACAAGACCCATCCCCGCCCCCATCTTCCCCCAATGCCAGCCAGAAAGGGGCCAGGGTCTGGGGGACCTGGGTCCAGGGAAGGCATGGGCGCTCTGGCTGGGGTGAGGCATGAGCTCTGAGGCTGCAGGGCAGCAGGTGGGAAAGATGCGCACAAGAAAAAGCAGGTTGACGCCTGGACATATACACGTGTAGGGGCAGAGAGAAAGATTCTACCGCAAGACAAGAGAGACACAGGCAGGTTGAAGGAAAGCACCAGGGACAGGTTCAGCTTTTGTGCCCAGGACGTACTTCCAAGGCTTAAATGCGGCCTGTTCCTGTGCTCACCCAGCTTCTGGTGTGGTTTCACACGTTGTCATATATTCAGGGGAGCTCCCACTTAACAGGCCTCGGCTTTAGAGGCCACTCTCTGCTTTATAAACACATGGTATAAACACAAGTGGCACCCAGAGGGCAAGTGGTGGACACAGGGTGCCCAGAGGGGAGGATGGACTTCACTGTACACCGTGAAGGGATCCTTTATCTACTTTGAGAATATAAAAGCCTTGAGTCCTTCACTGATAACTCCTCCAAGCTCACCCTAAATTCACAGGGAAAAAAAGTCTTCTATGAGCATCCAGGCATGATGACTTTGAAATGGGAAATCCCTTAAATTAACTGTGGCTTTTGCTTTTCCTTAACTGTGTCATCATTCACGCAGGTCCCCTCCTGCACCCTCAGTGTCAGGCTCACAGGAAGTGCTGGGGAGGCTGGAAACTCCTCCAAGGGAGAGGCTGGGCCCTTTGTAAAGCAGTGGTTTCCAAGGAGAGGAAAACCAAGTTTATTTCACCTTGCTATCTGCCAAGACATGTGACTCAAAGCCAACTTTCATGTTCCAAATGATCTTGCCTACACCAAGAGGGCCACCTGAGGTTGACTGAGTGGGTTTCTAAGAGGAGAAACTATTTCCAGGGTTCCCAGAAACTGAGACGATAGAAGGTGTTTATTTTTAGAAGGTCTACTTTTCTCTGTTTCTTATTTTCTTATACAGGGAAAAGAGTAAAGGCCTTGGTTTTATATATATAATATATTTATATATAACATATTTACATTTACAAAATATATTTTATATAAAATATATTTCCCTCCTTTTCATCCTCAAAAAGGAACCCTCAGGCCAGTAGAAAAGGAACCAAATGGGGAGGGGGATATGTGTGAATAAAGCACATTCTCTACAAGTCAGGCCTCAGCGACGTCCACCACGGGTCCTGAAGCCCCTGGGGTCCTTGCAGGACCGGCTGGACCCACCCAGCAACCCTCCTCCTGGCGGCTGCTACCCTGGCCTTGCAGGAGAAACTGTAACTCAAACGCAGAGACACGGGCAGCAGCAGGAAATCCTCACCAGCCCTGGTTCCCGGGAACCAGGAAACCCAGTTGGTCGTGATGGTGGAAGGTTAGTGAAGGGGCCTGCATCACAGGCTCCAAATTCCAGAGCTGAAAAAAACACAGCTGTGCTGAATGGGTCTTAACATGTGGGGAGGTAAATTACCTCTCACAGACTTAAGAAACAGTCACAAACATTCTAACTTCTGCAGGCAGCTCAGGGCTCCAAGAGATGATCTAGGCCAGGGGCTGGCCAATTACAGCCCGAGGGCAAACTCTGGCCCTGCCTGTTTTTGTAAATACATTTTTATTGGAACACAGCCACTCCTGTTCTTTCACCTTAGGGTCTCTGGCTGCTTTCGCACTACAAGGGTGGGGTTGAGTCACTGGGACAGAGACTACGTGGTCCACAGAGCCTAGAGCATTTCCTCTGTGGCACATTCTGGAAAAAGTTCTCCTACTAGATCTGACTGTCCCCTGATCTAGCCCAGCTCCTCGTTTTACAGATGAAGAACCTGAGGCCCAGACAGGTTAAGGAGTTGGGTAGTAGCAGGGTTAAGACTTGAACCCACACTGCTGCCCCTTCACCCTTCAGCATCGCCTGGGTTTGAACGAGGGTGGAGGGCACATGGGTTCCATTTTTACTGTGGTTCCTTTTGTTTCATCTCTATGCATGGGTGAAAAAAAAAAAAAAAAAACTATGAAAAAATAAAGATAGTCTCTGCCACACAAAAACCATTTTCCTCAAGCTTAATAACCAGAGATTGTGTAGGGGCTATTTTTTGGTCCATGCATTTCAAGGTTCAATCCCCTAAACTTGTGTATACAAAAGGGCATCCTCTACGCCGCCTCAGAAAGCACATTTCACGTGAATGAAGAGGGCCAATTTTACAAGCCCCTAGAGCAGGACTAAATGATGCAAACTTAGCTAGAAGCTAACTTTTTGGTTAGAAGCCCTCTGTCTGGGGTCTCCATTTGTTCTCCCCAAATACATTCCACAGGAACACTTCACTGGGAGACCAGTCCAGACTTCACCAAACTAAAGAGATTCCAAGAAAATAACCTCCCTGCCGCTGCAATGGCAGCTCAGATCCAGCGGAGGGAGTCCACTGGCACCGCGCACAGGCTGCCTCAGGCACCGCGGCCAGCCGCTCCTAGACATCTGAGTGGGAGTCCAGGCCAGCCACAAAAGAGGAGGAAAACAGTCTTCTCCAGGGAACCGTGGCCCCCGATCAGTACAGGCGCCAAGCACAGACACACCTCACATCACCTCAACTCAGATCCCCGTGAAGCAATCCTCTCCTGTACCAGGTGGCGGCAAACCTTCCTCTGACCGTTCACCAAGCCTGGAGTGGCCCCGGCACTCTGCCCCCACCAACTCTTCCCCACCACTGGGCTCTAACAGGGCCTGGCCTTTGCAGGGCCACTAATTCTACATTAACTTCGATATTCTCCCCTTCACGTTTTGCCTCTTCCTCTCCATCCATCAGCGGTGTGGGAAAATACATAGCAAATGTTCCGTAAGTTGTTTCCTTCAGTACTCATTCGTGTTGTTAGAATTGTACTGGTTCACTGGAACCTAGTAAGAGCACGTCAAGAAGTAGGAGACATGGCAAGTTAAACCTATTTGGCAAAAATGAACGGGACAAGCTGTAGTGAGCATCCACACCTTTGTAAATGCCTGGACCAGGTTCTGTGCCTCTGTGAGTTTAACAGTTAAGAACAGAGGTTCAAAACTCACACCCATCACTTCCTACTTGGGCAGGCTGTTTACACTTGCAGTGCCTTCGTTTCCTCATCTGTAAAATGAGGATGCAATAATGACATCAGCTACCTCGGGTACTCTAGATGATACAAATAAAGCGGTTATCGCAATGCCTGGCAATCCGTGCAATTAATCTGCCCCCGCCAGGTCCCTCCACCACCCATATCTCAATCCAACAAGCATTTCTGTGATGCGCCAGCACGCCACTCACACCGCTGCCTAGGGGGCCTGACTGCCAGGTGCCCACATACCTGAAGGGCTTGCTGTCAGGGTCGGTGTCCTTGAACCCCATCTCTTCGAGCTTACAGCGCCGATACAGCTCATAATGGCGGGTGTGAGTCTGTTCTCGCAAATCTTCCATGTTCACACGGATCAGCATCTCCCGAAGTTTCACGAAATCACAGTGGTTTTCATTCTCAACTGCAGGAGATGGGGAAGAAAGCGGGGAGGGCTCTCAGCAGCGATGTCACTAAAATCTGAAGTGATCTTTCTAAGACGTAGTTACCATTGCCCCTGAAATCTCTGAGGCCTCAAGGTCACCCGAAGATCCTTCACTGGATCCTCCTTACACCCCTACAAAGACAGGATTTCTGACAGCAGGGACCATGATTGCTGGTGATGAGGGTGGCTGCTGAGGGCAGGGCACCGTGGGAGGAGCTTTGCCAATACTGTCTTGACTCCTGGTAGCAGTTCTGCCTAGCAGGATTCCCAGATGCAGAGCGCGGCTCTGATGAGCAGGTTGACCTCCCAGACAGAGGCAGCAGAGTCTATATTCAGACCCCGTCACCTCTGGCTCCAAAGCCAGGCCGATTTCTACCCCTGCGTGCTGTCGGGACCCGTACGAGGCAGTTTTTATGTATCATCTCCTTTAACTTTATCAACAACACGATAAAGCAAGTTTTTCTATTGTAGAGAATTTGGGAAGATGGATAAAAACCATAATTTTCCTACGTGTCTCAAAGGTACTGTGCTTTCTCATGTCTCACAGGTTTATTGCCTTTCCTCAGAACAAAGGAAACGGAAGACTGATATATCGTAAGCCAATGAGGGAGCTTTCTGCAGCCACCCTACTTAATCCATAGCATTGGACGTCCCTCCTTCACAACACACAAGGGTTGGAAATAGAATCTGAGACCTTGCCCATCAAAGTGACATAGGAAATGTCTTCAGGTTAGAGATTGTGGTCATGTCCCACAACAATTATAGGTCCCTTGTTCTCAGATATTTACTGAGAAGACAATTTCCAAAAAAAACCCCAAAAAACAAGAAGACAATTTTTCCAGAGATAATGGAGAAACAAGTATCCTCTTGTTCGCAAGATCTCTCTTCCAGCAGGAATTTATACGAAATTCCCCACACAACCCAGCATCCTTGGGGGGCTGCCTCATTGGCACTAGGGCTCTGCAGCCACTTCTCTCCATTGCTTCCCAGCCTCCCTGCTTCTTTCTGGCCTCCACAATTGCCAGGTGTAAAACCCTGCCACCCCCTTCCACCTGCCCACGTCAAGGACCTGCCCAAACCCAGCAGGGACAGCCACCGTGGGGGTGACACACGAGGAAGCCCTTCCCCACGACGCGCACGTACCCTGCACCACACCCCAGGGGTACTGCCTGGCCTTTGCCATCTTGTTGCCAATCTTCACCTCCTCGGTGCTGCCGACCACTGCGAAAGGGAGGTGGACCTGCCAGCAACACAAGGACAGAGAGCAGTTATCCTCCCCGTGCTGCAAAGACACGCTCTCCTCCGCTTCCACGCGCCCCCTCCCCCCGCAGGCCTCTGCTCAGGGCAAGAGAAAAGGGCGAGGGAGGGCAGAAGAGCGAGGGGCTCAACAGTTCAGTGGGGTTGGGCTTCGTGTGTCCGACCCCCCCTACAACCAGATGCCAAGTATCTGACATGAGCTGGACTCAGGGGGAAACTAGGAGTCTTTGCGATTCTATGGTAAGCGTGGGATGTCCACTGCCTGAGACTAGACACTGGTTATTGAGCACTTGAAAGGAGGCTTGTAAAATGAAGAAAATTTAAATTTTATTTACTTTTAATTAAGTTACATTTAAAGGGAAGCAGTGTGAAATATTTTTCCATGAATTATCACTTTATTGTTTTGGTAGGACTGCATTTCACTTTGCTTCAAACTCAGATCTTCTTAAAAAAAAAAAAAAAGAAGAACCAGTTTTGTTAATGTAGATGCAAACATGAAGGAAAATTATCTTTTTGGTACTTACTTCATATTGAAAAACTTTTAAATATGTTAGCAGTAAGTTAGGTATGCATCCAAATTGGGATGTATATAATTATAAGCTATACATTGGGGGAATTCCCTGGCAGTCCAGTGGTTAGAACTCGACACTTTCACTGCCAGCGACTGGATTAAATCCCTGGCTGGGGAACTAAGATCCCACAAGTCATGTGGTGTGACAAAAAAAGAATACATACACACACACACACACACACACACACAGAGGACTTCAAAGCCCTGCTATGGAAACATCTCATTAATAATTTTTATATTGGTTACATGTTGAAATGATATTTCTGATATACTGGGTTAAATAAGTTTTTAAAATTAATTTTATGTTACTTTTTAAAAATGTGGCTACTGGGACTTCCCTGGTGGCGCAGTGGTTGAGATTCTGCCTGCCAATGCTGGGGACACGGGTTCGAGCCCTGGTCTGAGAAGACCCCACATGCCGCGGAGCGACTGGGCCCGTGAGCCACAACTACTGAGCCTGCGCGTCCGGAGCCTGTGCTCCGCAACGAGAGAGGCCGCGGTAGTGAGAAGCCCACGCACCGCGATGAACAGTGGCCCCCGCTCGCCGCAACTAGAGAAAGCCCTCGCACAGAAACGAAGACCCAACACAGCCAAAAATAAATAAATAAATTTATTTTTAAAAAATGTGGCTACTGGAAAATTTAAATTACTTGTGTGGCTCATATTTCTACTGAACAGCACTGCTTTAGACAGTTGATCATTGCACAAAATTCAAGTCAAATATACTTTAGCTCAACTTACTGGCTCAAGCCTTGCACCCCGACTTACCTTGAGCAGAGCTACTGTTCAAGGCAACTGGCTGTGCCACGTTGGTTTATTTGGTAACTATGGCTACATTCTGGGGAGAAAACAGTAATTCTATCTTTCTCCTATTAGCACGTGAGAATAACATCTGAAATGGCTGCTCTGAGAATTATTATTTAGGGCTCCCTGACCCAGTGCTCTTTCACTACAGATACACGGAGGCAGACAAGAGTGTTTTAAAGCCAGATCCTCTCCCAGAGCTTGGCAAAATCCTCAGCCCAGGCCGCCCAACTGGTATTTGGTCTGGCGCTCCAGATACTTATATTTTCTAGTTCATCTCACACTCTGTAGGAAGGAAAGAAAGCATGTTCTCTTTTTCAGCATCTGGAACTGAAATGTGGTTCCCTGGAGCTGAGGGGTAATAGGACCCTTCCAGCCCACGTTCTGCTGTGCCGACCCAGGGAACTGCCCCCTCCACTCGACCTGAGTGACGAAAGCAACCGCCAACGAAATCTGCTTTCCACATATCATATGGGATTTCATCACCAGGAACTGCCTGCAAGGAAGACCCTAGAAGAAAATTCCTTGATAAAGAGCACAATGAATTTGGGAATATCAGTTCTGTGAATCTGATAAAGAGAGAAAAAGAGCAAAGATTCATGGGTATTTTCTTTCCAAGAAATTTAACACAAATTTAGTTTCATGGCCATGCAAAATTATTTAAAAGGACAGGAAGGGATATACAGAGAAAAATTGGATGGTATTCATTCATGTTACTTCCTGAATCCCACTGACCCCAAATTGCAGTCCTACAGCCGAATAAACACGTGCCGTCCCAGCCTGAGCTTTTAACGATGCTATAACCAAGTACGCTCCTCCGCCTGGGTCCGTGGGACTGTTGTGAACATTAAATGTGGAGCTGGAGCAGTGCCCGATGCATAGTAATAAGTGCTCCATAAATGTCAACATGTCAGGCACTACTGTTATCACCAAGTTCTCAGTACCCAGAACCAGAGAATTTTAGGGGTGGAACCTGTGTAGGAATTCCCTCCATGGTATCTCTTCTGAGTGAGTTGAAGCAGAATCTGTTGCCCACCAACTACTTGTGATGGAGGCACCAAGAGTTAAACGTGCACTTCACTGGGCCCAAAGCCCGCACTGCTCTTTTGCCCTCTGGTTTTGGTTCTGCCTTTTGAGTAAGTCTAGTCGCTCTCCCCTATGATTACCTTCCTTTCGCATGCCCTCGTGGCCATTTCCCAGGAAGAATCTGCTCTCCAGTTCCTTCCAAGGATTCCAGACCCTTTACTATCCTGGATACAGGAGCACAACAGCCAGGGGGGGTCACATGACTCAGTGTGACCAGACTAGGACAGAGCCGAGCTGGTCTATCTCTGCATTAATGAGATCCCTAAATTTTATTTATTTTATTAAAAAAAAATTTTTTTTTTAATTTATTTTTGGCTGCTTTGGGCCTTCTATAGTTGCAGTGAGAATGGGCTACTTTTTGTCGCAGTGCGCGGGCTTCTCGTTGCGGTGGCTTCTCTCACTGCGGAGCACGGGCTCTAGGCACGCAGAGGCTCAGTAGTCATGGCACACGGGCTCTAGAGCGCAGGCTCAGCAGTTGTGGTGCAGCGGCCTAGTTGCTCCGCGGCATGTGGGATCTTCCCGGACCAGGGCTCAAACCCGTGTCCCCTGCATTGGCAGGCAAATTCTTAACCACTGGGCTACCAGGGACGCCCCGTAAAATTTTAAATTCAACAATTTCCCAGAGAAGGGGAAAGTTACATTCCCTTCCAAAGTCCTAATCATGTTGGGAGTGATTTATGGGAAAAGTTCCTCCTTAAATGATAACAGCCATATCTAGAAAAGTCCGTATGCTGAATGGAAGAAGGAAGAAGCAGTTTTGTGGAATTAGTCTGGTCTCCTAATTACGATGGCAAACAAGACTGGGACCAGGTGGACTGGGTCAGAATCCCAGTGCTGCTCTTAACTGGAAGACTTTGACCAAGTCATTTAATTCTCCAGATAAGCTTCAGTATGACTTTCTTTATATAAAATGTCCAGAACAGGCACACCTACAGAGACAAGGAGGTAGATGAGTGGTTGCCAGTGTTTGATGGTTAGAGGGCTGACATCTAAAAGGTATATGGTTCCCTCCTGGGGTGATGAAAATGTTCTAAAATTGACTGCGGCAATGGTTGCACAATGCTGTGAATATGCTAAAAACCACTGAATTGTACACTTTAAATGGGTGCCATACAGTGCATCAATTATATCTCAACAAGGCTGTTCATTAAAGAGCGCCTTTAGGGCTTCCCTGGTGGCGCAGTGGTTGGGAGTCCGCCTGCCGATGCAGGGGACACGGGTTCGTGCCCCAGTCCGGGAGGATCCCACATGCCGCGGAGCGGCTGGGCCCGTGAGCCATGGCCGCTGAGCCTGCGCGTCCAGAGCCTGTGCTCTGCAACGGGAGAGGCCACAACAGTGAGAGGTCCGTGTACCGGGAAAAAAAAAAAAAAAAAGAGCGCCTTTAGTGCCTTTAATAATGACTTGATTAGACACTTGTCATGATCAGATCTGAGGAAAGTAAAACATACCTCAACGGACCACAAATTAAAAAATCTAGACTGACTTCCACTGCCACCAGCACACTTCTGAATCAATTTCGAGCACGTATTCAGGGAAGGCCAAGCTATTTAACAGCTACTAATTACATTCCATTGAAGCTAACCTGCAGTTTTAAGAATTCCAAAAACCCTCAGTGGGCATCAACTATGTGTGAAGAATGCTGCTTCTTCTACAGAAGTCGGGCATTCCCAACTGAAGAAAGATGGGTACAGTTACGTGACACAGAGGTGAGCCATGGCTACGAGACACACAGGAGCAGTGGGAAAGACTTGGGTATCGACTAGCAGGATGGAGTGTCATCAGGAGAGATTATATCACAGGCACACTTAGATTGCTGAAGCTTTCATCATTTATCTCCTGACCATTCCTCCCTGTGATGTGGAAACTGCACCCTCCACTGCCAGTTTACCTCATGATTCAGGAAAGGGTGGGGAATGCAGAAAGGAGAAAAAGGCAGGAACCAATCACAGAAGCAAAAGAGAGGCAGGTGGATATGTTTCTGCTGACACTGGCAGAAGCAAGCGGAGAGCTAGTTCCTCTAAGCTGCTTTGTGTGAAATGGTGCTGGGCTGGCATTCCCTTCCCACAAGGTTTGCTGTGGAAATCAGAACTGTTAGAGCAGGAAGGAGATTTGAGATCTTGTCTAACTCTCCCATTTGACAGATGGACAAACTGAGAAGTAGATGGATTAAATGACTTGAAACAGTGGCAGAGCTGGACCCCACTGAGTACGTTAGATGCTAGTCCAACGTTCTAGCCACTGCACAATGCTGCTACTAAGAAAAGCTTTCAGGAAAATCACTGGTTGGTCCTTTCTTACTTGAGGACTTACACTCATCGTTGCATTAATTTCTGCCACCGTTTCTTCGTCTGTGGGGAACTGATATATCTGGACTCCATTGCTGACTAGTTCACTCATGATCTTACTCTTGAATTTGTGCAATTCGTTCTTGGCAATGGTGTCAGCTTTTGCAATTATTGGAATGATGTTCACCTATAAACCAAACACATCCATTTTTATACGATTCCAACGTAAGAAAAATAGACAAATGAATAAAATATAGAAAACAAAGAAGCAGAAATTGTAAGACTTCCCTTAGAAATAGAGATGATATTAAATATTGGACTTTTTACCTAGATGCAAAATTAAGAAGATATGGAATAATCTTTTAGTTCCATCTCTGAACATTTTTACTCGCTCCCATCTGACACTGAAAGAAAGCATCCTCGTAATTTCCTCTTCTATGCCACCTCATTCTTCTTTATGGTGTAAAAGGAAGTGTTGCTCTATGACAAAGAGCGGTAACAAAGAAGCCTATTCTTTGAGTAACCACTCCTTTTTGACTCCTCCCAGCTACTTTAGGAGTTTGATTTTTGCATGTTTCTAACAGTCTAATACCAAGATTTTCATTAGTTAGAATACTGGAATATTCAGCTCTATGCAGGATAGCATCCTTTCTTTCTTCTGATGACTTGAGAACTGCTGGAAGCAGAGAACCTAAGTATTAACCAAAACAAAATTGATTTCACCTACTTTTAAATTTTTCAAAATCACACCAACTAATTCTCTTGAAAATCAGCTTCTATCACATTACTTCTCTGTGCCAGAATGAGACCTAGTGCCAAAAGACAAGGCTCACTTTCAGAGCATCAGATACAAAGACCAGGTGAGAACTCTGACGTTTGACAACACTGGCAGAAAGCCCAGAACGAGGGCCAAGGACCCTCAAGCGCAAGCCCCAAAGCCCAAGGTGGGACACTCTGCTCCCAACTTACCCCAGCACTGTCCACAGGACACATTCTTTAAAATCGATTTTTTACAATTAACTTTCTTCCACTCCCTGATTGGTACAGAGGTTTCAACAAGTTGCTACTGACATCTGATACCGGGGACCATGCTCTCCACCCAGCTCAGGTGAAAAGGGAACAGGCTCGGTGAGAAAGCGATCAGTCCCAGCCAGAGAAGAGGGAGTCTTTAGGGGGGTTTTCCGGGTCACATCTGCATTCCTTTGCTTCTCCTTTTATCCCAAGAGCCAAGTCAAATATCCCTGATAAACCAGACTGAGATGACCCGTTGATGGAAAAATCTGTTCTGCCCTATTCCTCAACCCAATCCTAACCTTGTCATGGATGGGCTTCCTGCAGCAAGTTGCCTCAGCGAGACAGACATCATTGAGGGTGGGAGAATGCCTGGACCAGGACGTGGGGAACAAACCCCTCCCTATGGTTTGTATTGGCTAACTTTTGTGCACTTAGTATTGGCTTAATATCAACATGGACAAAATGGCAGAGGTTCACATTTTCTTGGCCAGTTTGATTAGAGTAGATAGAAGAACCAAGCAAATTTAGATTTAAGATCTCTTCTTCCTCAGTGGCAGGTGCTTGGAAATCCTGTCTGAAATTGTCATATGTTTGCCTTAACTCTTCACTTTACTTGTATCAACGAACCTTTGACAATACCGTTTTCAGATACTCCCTAGCACTTCAGCTCTACAACAATAATAGTTCTTTGAAAGCAGTTTAACCAGCTTTGTAGCGATTGTTCTGTTTTGTTTTGATTAGCTGTTTGTTTTGCCTTGTTTTCTTTCCCTTTTTAAATTGAAGCATAATCCTGTTGTTGGATATCACCCTGGCGTGGTCTACAAGCTCAGCCTCAGTGAGGAAGCCACCTCCCTCTGTCTGCTTCCCAGCCCTGCTCTCAAGGACGTGACAGTGAAGGAAGCAGACCTCCCTGCCCAGTGAGCCACCATTGATGGTTCACTGAAGCTGAATCAAATGAGATGAGGAAGGGTTTCCATTTATTCTCCCAAGAGTGCTCTAGCTGCAGGACTCCTTTCTGGCTGGTAGAATATGTTTCTGTAAAGCAGTGCGTCTTCGCAAGCTGGGGGCCCCGGGTGCCTGGCTCGGTGTCAGCCCGCAGGCCCTTTTTGGGCTGGTACAGGCAGAGAGGCCTTGGGGACAGGCTGATCTTCTCAGCATTCTCTCACTATTATGTCCCTCCGGAGCAAAAGCATCTTTTAAACAGTGTTGTTTGGACAGAAAATAACACCCAACAAAGCCCTCTAAAGGTAAGACTTTGTATTGAACTCAAAAAGAGGTTAGAATCTAAGAGGAAACACTATAGCTCAATTTTGTGGGTGTCCTTGTTGCCACCTGCTGCTTCTTTATTTCAGAATGTATTGTCTTCCATTTATTTCAAAATGGAAAATCAAATTAATCATAAAGTAGATCATCAAATGTTGTCAAACTCATCAGTCCCTTCCTCCAAATGTTGTGAAGGAGAAAGGTTATAAATGTGCAAAGATTAGGGGTCAGGCTTGATCTGAGACTCTAATTCTTTTGAACAAATGGTGCAGCTCAGTTTTAAAATCTAAGAAGTTGGACCATCCTTATCACATAGATAAAAAAAAATAAACTTTTTTTTCCATGTTAAACTTCAAATTAAAGCCAAGCCTGTAAAAACCTTTCAAAGAGAGATTTAAAAGAAAGTTTTTAAGAAAATAAACAAAGCATGAAATTATAGTTCAATCTCACTAAATTTAACCCTTCCTACGGCCCTTTAGGTGTCTCCACTGTCTAATTCCCCAACCCTCAACAGAGCACACACTAGTGCTAATTTAAGAACTAAAAATACTTTGTAATAAGCTACATGGTTCTGTTTGTTTTGTTTTGTCCTAATATCCAGAGAGGTTTTGAACCATTTTTTTCAAAACCCTATGGTTCCGTCAACCAGAAGAAACAAATACAGGGTTAGGAAGTAGGGAGGGATAAACAGGTGGTGCACAGAAGCCTTTTAGGGCAGTGAAATTACTCTGTATGATACTCTAGTGATGAATACATGTCATTATAAATGTGTCTAAGCCCACAGAATGTACAACACCAAGAGTGCACTCTCATGTAAACTATGGACTTGGGGTGACAGTGATGTGTCTCTGTAGGTTCTCCAGTTGTAACAAATGCACCATCTGATGGGAATGTTGGCAATGGGGTGGGCGTGGGGCTATGCATGTCACGGGGCAGCGAGTATGTGGAAAATCTCTGCACCTTCCTCTTAATTTTGCTGTGAACCTAAAACTGCTCTAAAACATAGTCTTTAAAACAAAACACCAAATTACACTGAAAGCAGAGGTAAATCGGGGCCCCCGGATAGAAGTGATCTTACAGGAGAGTGGACGGTACCCAGAACAGCAGTGAGTACCTTACTGTCCAGCTTCTTCATGGTGACCAGGTCCAGGGACTTCAGCGAATGTCCAGTGGGGGCAATGAAGTAGAGGCATGCGTGGATCCTGGTGTCATGGTAGTTGAAGAGAGAACGTTTGATCTTCAGTTCCTCTTGCAAGTAGGCCTCAAACTGGGCATCGATATATTCCACGATCGGCTTATAGCTAGGATGCAGAAGAAGGTTTTTTTTTTGGTTTTTTTTTTTTTCCTTTTTTGCGGTACACGGGCCTCTCACTGTTGCGGCCTCTCCCGTTGTGGAGCACAGGCTCCGGATGCGCAGGCTCAGCGGCCACGGCTCACGGGCCCAGCCGCTGCACGGCATGTGGGATCCTCCCGGGCCGGGGCATGAACCCATGTCCCCTGCATCGGCAGGCGGACTCTCAACCACTGCGCCACCAGGGAAGCCCCCAGAAGAAGGTTTTTTTAAAACACATTTTCAAATCAGCATGTTGCTAGTCTCAAACCTCTTTGTACAATCCTCCAGGAAGTCTTCAGTAGTTCCTTCTTCCCTAAGAGCTAAGGCCCAAGTTCCTTACCTTGGCAGCCCAGGCCTTTAGCCATCTGGCCCCTGAACATCACCCCAGGCCCTCTCTCCAACCCCTTCCGGGGCTCACCCTTTCTGTCCCACATGTCAAGCTCTCGCCTGCCTCTGTGCCTTTCCTCATGCTAGCCATCCCATCCCCCCACACCTCAACCTGGAATGGTCTTCTTCCTATTATTCCCCTGGCTAACATTCAGCCTTTAAAACAGCAACTGGAAATACGTGAGACACACTGTCACTTCCCCCATGGCACCCACGAAGGTATTGCTAGAGACTGTGGCATTCTTTCCTGCTGGGCAAAACTGAGCCTCAAAATCTGTCTCAATAAAGTGATTTTGACAGCCTCTCCCAGCTGATTGGCATCGGTGCACAAGAAGAAACTGCTCTGCAGTTTCAGGATGCAGCACCTCCTCCTGCTGGCAGCCCCCTCCCTGCTCCTGCGCCCCCAACCCCCGGGGACGAGGGCTTCTCCGTACTCTCATAAAGCCCTGCGCGTGCCATAACCTCATCTATAAACTGAACTGCCTGGTCTATTATGATCAAGATTCTCCCCAACTCTCAAATTTTATGATCTGAAGGTAAACTCTGTAACCCTCTCTTCTCACCAAATCATAATTCAAATCCAGTTTGAATAATTACACATGACTCTATTAGCTGACCAAAAACACAATCACTAATAGCATATTGGGAAGACATATTCAATAAACCATATGTTCTCCAAGGATTAAACAGTACATTAGGTCACTGTGGAAAAGCCATGAACTCTTCCAGGTCTCCAAGGGGACTGCTCAGAAGTAAGGGTCAGCAGCAATGACATGGGCTGATCAGGAATAAAATGGGTTAATTCTTCCCCAAACTTACTACCTTGCTGAGGAACGGTTTAGGCATTAACAAAAATAAAAACCTCTCAACAGTCAACTCTCGGATCCATAAATTAAACTGAAATCCCTGAAAGAGAACTATAAATCTTTTATAATGAGGATGACAGCAGATGCCCTGAAAGGAAAAAACAAACAAAACAAAACAAACAAACAAAAATGGATGACCCAAACTGAAAACAGAAAAAAGTTTTCTTATATTTTCCCTTGATTTATCATAATCCACTGTTTGAACGTGAGCAGACAAAACCTCTAGAGGTTTCAAGAAAAAGCAGAATGGGCCTAAATAAAATTCTAAACACGACAGTAGAAATCCCAATGAATTCCAGTAGAAAGGATAAGCAAGTAATAAGATTCTCCTCCACTTTCCAATTTTAAAATACAGGCAGGAATTATATAACAATAGCAATAGCCATTATTATGATAAAAGCATGGACTCAAGCCAGACCACCGAAGACCAAACTCCAAATCCATAACTTACTAGCTGTGTGGCTTTGGGCAAGCTACTAAACCTCTCTGTGTTTCAATTTCCTCATAGGTGATATCAAGGACAAAGATATTACCTATATCAGACAGCTAATGTGACAAATTAAGTGAGCTAACATATGTAAAGAATTAGCCCATAAAACTGTGAGATATAACTATTTCATAGTAATAATAATAAACAACAAATAAGAGAAAAGCAAGCCTGACTTTTCAAAAAGACAGGGAAAAAAAAAAAAGGAACTTTACACTGACCCACTTTCCATGGTAACTGTTCTGCTACTGACTCATGCCCTGTAGGGCAGTGGACCAGGCCACTCCAGCGAGGCCCACCCATGCCCTGTCAGTCCAGAGCCTGATCTTTCGGTCTCCTGACACCGAGGCATGTGACTGGGGGAATCAAGGTCCCCCTACGCCCTCTTAACCCCAAAGAGAGGAAAGCAGCTTACAGCAGGTGCTCCTTCCTGCCTCCCCAGTTCCTGATTTGCAGCTTCTGAGCACCTCCCCACAAGAGTGGCCCAAGTATGCTGCTTCTTTCTATTCATTTCCTTTCTGCATTTGTTTTCTTTTTTAACATCTTTATTGGAATATAATTGCTTTACAATGGTGTGTTAGTTTCTGCTTTATAACAAAGTGAGTCAGCTATACATATACATATATCCCCTTATCTCCTCCCTCTTGCGGCTCCCTCCTTCCCACCCTCCCACCCATCTAGGTGGTCACAAAGCACCGAGCTCATCTCCCTGTGCTCTGCCACTGCTTCCCACTAGCTATCTATTTTACGTTTGGTAGTGTGTATATGTCCATGCCACTCTCTCACTTAGTCCCAGCTTACCCTTCCCCCTCCCCGTGTCCTCCAGTCCATTCTCTACGTCTGCGTCTTTATTCCTGTCCTGCCCCTAGGGTCTTCAGAACCCTTTTTTTTTTTTTTTTTAGATTCCATATATATGTGTTAGCATACAGTATTTGTTTTTCTCTTTCTGACGTACTTCACTCTGTATGACAGACTCTAGGTCCATCCACCTCACCACAAACAACTCAATTTTGTTTCTTTTTATGACTGTGTAATATTCCATTGTATATATGTGCCACATCTTCTCTATCCATTCATCTGTCGATGGACACTTAGGTTGCTTCCACGTCCTGGTTATTGTAAACAGTGCTGCAATGAACATTGTGGCACATGACTCTCTTTGAATTATGGTTTTCTCAGGGTATATGCCCAGTAGTGGGATTGCTGGGTCATATGGTAATTTTATTTTTAGTTTTTTAAGAAACCTCCATACTGTTCTCCATAGTGTCTGTAACAGTTTACATTCCCACCAACAGTTTGCATTTGGTTTTGATTCTAATCCTCCAAGATTATGGGGTGCATAGCACCTCTCCTTTTCCAGTGAGGCATGCTTTCTGCCCTGGATTTGGTATATCCAAAGACATCTTTTGTTCTCCTCTATACCTCGGGCTTCCTTCTGCCATCACCTATTAAGGAGTTTGGGCCAATCTTTTCAATCTCCCTCTTCTCCCTGTATGTGGTTTCCTTGGAAAATCACATTTACTCCTGTGTTTCACTTAACCAGATCTTTCACCCAAGTTTCAGACCAATCCATCCAACTGCTTACCAGATATTTCCACTTGCTCTTCTAAATATGTCCAAAATCAAACTCTTCATCTTGTCCCCAGACCCACACTCCCCCGTATTCCTCCGGTCAGCAAATTGCACCCGCATCCAGACCACTGGCCGTGTCAGAACCCCGGGGTTCAACCCAGAGACCTCCTCTCCTACCTCCTACACACAACCAAGCACAAAATCCCATCCATTTTACCCTCTGTATCATGATAAACAAATAAATGTATTCCAGGAGAACAATTTACCATAACCACTACACCTTGTGTTCCAGATTTAATTATGTTGATGAAACAGTTTCTTCCTGATGCATAATGAGTCAGCCTAGTGGCTTTGTACTCCCCTTCACATCCTTTGAACAAACTCTCTTGCCCTTTCTCCTACTCCTGTCCATAAGTTATCTACACTCAAAGTCATAAGGATAAGGAAACTTCATCCCTATTTTGCCTTTCGCTAGTTTCCATTCTTACAGCAAGGATACCTATTTGTATTCTGTTCTGCCAATTCAAACTTCTGTGGATTTTAGCAATATCAAGCAGAGGAAAGGGCAGGGTGGGGGAAGGAGGGGGGATAGGGCAGATCAAATCAAGTCCTTACATTTTCACATAATTTCTTTTTAAGGCATGGGATATTCCTTTTTATCTACTACTTATTTTTCCCCCCATAAATCTGCAGCCATTAAAAAAACACAAAAAAAATTGACAGAGGTTGACCCTAAAACTGATGGGGAAAAAATATTTTATGCAATGTTTTCTATCCACCCAAGCTACCCACCTGCAAAACAGCCAATGCCATTGTTCGGGGACTGACTCTCCATTTCACATGTGACCAGGTACCTACCACCTTTCTATCTATTAGCCAAAGTTAATTTTCCTTATCCTTCAACTACATCTACCAGAAAGTGTAATTAAGACAGAATTTGAAGACCAAACAGTCCATTCCATTACCATTTTATAACTCTGATAAAGATTTGGTGGGCTTGAGGATTCTCTCAGTGGATTTCAATTATCCATGCTTTTTTAGGACTGGTTACCATTATAGTTTGTAATATGCCGTTGACATTCTATCTCCCACCTCCCAAATGTGAGGCCAACAAATTCTTTTATTTCCAGCGCTACGGCAAAATTTGGTTTCCCTTCTTCTCCAGACCTCTTTCCTTCTTTACTGAAGCGTACAGACAGCAAAACAAGGAGGCCCTTAGACCACGAAGAGTTAATCGTGCTGTTAAACAAAACAGGAAACCTCACCAGATCTCTCTTCCTGCCTCCTTCTAGCTAGCCTGGTCCCAGGCAGTTAATGATGCAGGAATGCTGACATGTCCGAAGCCTACATAAACAAACTGGGACATTCTTGAAGTCTTGCATCGATGGCAGAAAAGCTTGCCTAATCCTCAAAGTAGTAAAAATAATCATGGGTTTAGAGAAACAGCACATCCCCTTCCATATGTTTACATATCGATACAGAAATGCATATCCCACTTGCAATTTTTTGAAGGAAGCAGACCCTATCCAAATGACTTCTTTTTAACAGACATTTGGGTTTATAGTCAACAGTGTCAACAATCATTCTGGGGCACAGAGTTCTAAATGCCACTTAAAGAGGTTATGAAACAGCTGTCAAGAAATTTCAGAAGAAAAAAAAAATACTTGGTATGTAGGTTAGGTTAATATCACACTTCCTCTCTTCTAAGTCTCCTTGGAAACTATTATTTGACCCAAATGAGTCAGATAATTTCTTAAAGAGGCCTCCAGCTGCGAACGTGTGGATCAGCGTTGCACTGGCCACCTGCTGTTCAGGGCTGGTGAGTGAAAACCCCCCAGACTGAGGGAAAGTCCCCATTTAGGGGAGAAGTAAAAATGCAATGGCAGTGCTGAGGCGATGACTCAGAGCTACAACAGCTCAAGGAAACTTAGCAGCAAAATGCAGGAAGACGGTTCTCATTCCTGCAGGAATACACCCTGAGAAGGTGCAGCTGACGTCTTCCCATCAGGGAGTGCACAAGCATGGCACTCCCCAACCCCAGGGAGAGACCTGCGCAGGTCAGAGATGGAGACCCGCCTTGCTCGGACGGGGGCTCCGTGACCACACAAGGACCAGCGTGCACTTTTGCCTGTCATCAGGGTTTTCTCTTCATCTGTTTCAGTGGGCATTGCAGACAGCCTTCAGGCAAGAACCTCTCCATCATTCCCCGGCATTGAGGTCATAAATTAAGAGCAACTGCTCAGCTGTGCTTAGCTTTCCTCCACTCCAAGACAATGTACAGATAGTCCATTTTGACAGATGCAAAATGAAATCTTTCTTACTATGTCTAACAACTGCTCCTGTATTACAGGCCAATGCTTACTGAAGAGCATTTAAATTGCCCTATACATAAAATAGAGCTCCGTGCTCAGCTAGAGCATGAGTTAAATATTTCTCTGCTGTTACTATGTGCTCATACTTCTATCACAGAGAGTTAAAATATACCTAGACAATACATAGCCCTAGATAAAATGGTTCAAATTCCTCTTTACAAAACACACACATACAACATACACAGTTTGGAGGAAAATGAAGCAAACAAACAAAAAAACAAAAAAAACTGGTACTAATGAAGTTTCTGAGCCCTAAGCAAACATAATGTAACTTAATGATCTGGTGTCTTATTCCCATTAAGCTGCCACTGCACAAAAATGTCTCTGGAAGCCTCCTTCTGGAATTATCTTTGGGCCTGGGACAGTTTAATTTTAACTTTCTCAAACGTTTTTTGAGAATGAACTTAAGTATTTAAAACAATCAAAACGGACTTCCCTGGTGGCACAGTGGTTAAGAATCCGCCTGCCACAGATATACAATGGAATATTACCCAGCCATAAAAAGAAACGAAATTTGTAGTGAGGTGGATGGACCTAGAGTCTCTCATACAGAGTGAAGTAAGTCAGAAAGAGAAAAACAAATACCATATGCTAACACATATATATGGAATCTAAAAAAAAAAAAAAAAAAAAATGGTTCTGAAGAACCTAGGAGCAGGACAGGAATAAAGAGGCAGACGCAGAGAATGGACTTGAGGACAAGGAGAGGGGGAAGGGTAAGCTGGGCCGAAGTGAGAGAGTGGCATGGACATGAGTACACTGCCAAGTGTAGGGTAGATAGGTAGTGGGAAGCAGCCACATAGCACAGGGAGATCAGCTCGGTGCTCTGTGACCACCTTGAGGGGTGGGATGGGGAGGGCAGGGGGGAGACGTGGGAGGGAGGAGATATGGGGATATATGTATATGCACAGCTGATTCACTTTGTTATAAAGCAGAAACTAACACACCATTGTAAAGCAATTATACTCCAATAAAGATGTTGAAAAAAAAAAGAATCCGCCTGCCAATGCAGGGGACATGGGTTCGAGCCCTGGTCCGGGAAGATCCCACATGCCACGGAGCAACTAAGCCCATGCGCCGTAACTACTGAGCCTGCACTCTAGAGCTCATGAGCCAGAACTACTGAGCCCATGTGCCACAACTACTGAAGCCTGCGCACCTACAGCCCATGCTCCGCAACAAGAGAAGCCACCGCAATGAGAAGCCCGCGCACCGCAACGAAGAGTAGCCCCCGCTCACCGCAACTAGAGAAAGCCCACGTGCAGCAACAAAGACCCAAAGCAGCCAAAAATAAATTTAAAAATACAAAATAAAAATTAAAAAAAATAAAAGTTAAAAAAAAGTAAAATAAAACAATCATAAGGCATTTAAAGTCAAGATTAGTGAATAAGATGGATGATCTTGAGATTAACACCAAGAAGGTTTAAGGCTTAACAGCTTCCCTCAAATAAGGGCACACAGCAACTCAGAGAAAAGAGCCAAACTTGCTTGGCTTTATAAAATGACTATGTGTGTTTTATAAAAGTAAAACCTCTGGATGCGGACAGTCTTCTCTACTAACTGATGGGTGCTAAACTACTAAAGCAAAATAGCCTGAGATAAGATGTAAATGAAAGAACTTGAGTCAATAAAATGACTGTTTGCTTCACCTCAAAAAGAAAAAAAAAAGCAAAACCTCACTATATTATTTTATAACTAGATCGTCAAGTCTATGTAAACCAGTTTTAGTGAATGAATACGTGAGACTGACATAGCTAACAGCTTCTGTCGACATACAAACTACAGGACCAAAATTCTGAAAAGACATTTTATTTCTTAAGCAGCTTAAACATGTCCTTCTTCTACACTGACAAAGAAGTTTGTTATATATATTATCAAATTAGCTTAACAAACCCTTGCTGGATAGAGAGCGATCTGAATTCCTCACTAGGCTCCACTGAAACCACACTCAATATTCAGACTCAATGTGGCCATTCTGCACCCAGCGGGCCACCCAAGTACGAGCAGCCCACAGGAAGACCCAGACAATGCACAAAGGACACACAGTGCTCAGGCCACGGCACTAGCATCAATATTAAGATCCTGCTCTGGCTGGAAGTCAACGACAATTCTTCCAACCGATCTTTCACAAACATGCTTTCTTCACTTTGGGGTTTTAGGAGCTGATAGCACTGTATCAGCTGTGTATTATTACCACACCCCTCCTCCAGGCTTAGCCTTTCCCAGTGCCCTTCCTTAGACCCCACCTAAGAAGAGACTGTAAACAGATCCCACTGGAAGAGGCCCGAGAGTATCCAGGTCATTCCCTTAGAGTGAGATAAATTGCCAAGGTCCCATAGCTGCTCATCGGCAGAATCCAGATCACAACCCGGGTCTACTAAATCCTGGGCTTTGGCTTCTTGGGAAAATCACATTGACTCCAAGTTTTCATTCAGATCTGTAGGAATTTGGGGATTCAGTCAAATATCCCCATCTGCCTCAGAGACTAGGAGAGCATGGCAGATGCTCATTCCAAACTCCTTTTACTTTTTAATGCCCCCCCCACCCTTTTTTTTTTGGCAGAGTTAAAACAGCAACAACAACAAAAACCAGAAACCACACTTCCCAGACTCTCTTGCAGCTAGTGTTCTGGATCTGGTCTACTTTCTACCAAGCAGATGCAGCCATACAAGACCTGGAAGCAGGAAGGGAGCCACACAAGGCAGAGGCCCACACAGGGAAAGGGGTTCTTCTTGCAAGCGATGGTAAAGGCATTTGGCTCTCTGAGACAGACTGGGTAAAGGTTCTAGAGACCTCTCCCCAGTGTCAGAGGTACCAAACTATATAAGGTAGTTTGCGGCAGGGGTTCCACTAACTGTACGTGTTTCTCTAGACTGCTGTTCCAGGTGGGAAAGCGCCCAAGCCTGGTTCCATGACTCTCCTGGAAAAATGCCATAAGGTAGCTTATGCCTTCTAACAAATCCCTTTTCTCCTTACCCTAGCTGGAATCAATTACACTAGCTGATTCTGACCTCAAGAACATTCTAAGAAAATTTCTCAGAGGACAAGAATGTCTTATCTTTTAGGTGATAGGAGACCAAGACCCATAACTAGCGAACATTTAGTCTTTACATTTACCCGGGATGGATCCTGTTACCTTCTCACTCATTTACATCCCCACAAAATCCCAAGATGTACCTGTCATCCTTATTTATCTGGTCTCCAAATCCCACAGTGTCAACGATGGTTAACTTCAGCCGTACATTGCTTTCCTGAAGCTCATAACTTCTGGCTTTTAACCGGACACCTGGTTCATTGTGAGTAGCTGGGTCACTTTCAAATTTGGTGTTGAATAAAGTGTCCATTAACGTGGATTTCCCAATGCCCGTCTCGCCTGCATGACCACAAGGGAGAAATCAAAGAATGTGTCAATGCCTCTGAGGCACCAGTTCACACCATCAGGAGTTTTTCATCATCATGACAGTAAAATTTCTTGAAAAGTCAGTATCACCAAAAATCCCACCACAAAAAGATAGTTCTTTCCATGTGTGATCTACGGAATACTTCCCAAGAAACACTTTAATGAATTTCCAAAACCATTCAGTAGAAAAGATCTTGAACTTACAGATCAAGATGCTTTTCTTTACCTCTGCATAGAGAATTAGAACCTATAAGCTTGCCTGTGGTCAGTTTGTGGTCATTTCAAAGACATAAACCATAGTTCCTCCTTCCCTAAATGTTGGCATGTAACACTATATTGCTTTAAAAAAATTTCTATATGCTGAGTTTCTGTTACGAAGAAAATTCAAAAGACTGATTCATTTGTATTGGATTACTTGATATCATCTACTGTTGTGGAAAAGAATTACATTTTTCAAAACAACACACTTGACAAACAATAGCAATCATAACAAACCCAGCTACAGCCGCTGAGTGCTTACCTTGTACCAGGCCCTGTGGTAAGAGCTTCCAATGCACTATCTCATTTAAACCCTAGTACTAACCCCCATGGAATAAGTACTGCTCTTTCCTCCCTTTTACAGATGGGGCCTTAAGGCTTAGATAAGGTCTAAGTAACTTGTCTAAAGTCACACTGTTAAGTGGCAGAGCCAGGCTTCTAACCCAAGTTTGTGTGGTTCTAACACCTACGCTCAACCAACACAGCATCCTGACTTCACTGTTACAGAGAAAACTGACTGCCTAATTTTTTTTAGGTATGGTTATGAATCTGTGAGAATCCTCCATTATCTCCATTTTCTTTCCCTATTCAGCAGATGGCAAGCACTTGTTAGATTTCCCAGTTTCAAGCGGATGTTTGTGACAATGAAACTGAATGATGTTAAATAACCTGCAACAATGGCCTTATTAATTCACATTGATAATTCAAGTCAGTTAAGTCTTACCGAGCCCCTAATATATGCAAAGGAGAGTGGCAGGTACCTAACACCACTACACCAATCAAATGGTAAGACCCAAATGTGGAGCCATGGAGAACTTTAGCTTGGTCTTCAAAATAAGACCAAGAAAATTTTTCTCTCTATATACTAATTCTTGAGTCAAAACTAGTTGGCAGTGAGAAAGAACCCACCCTTGTCAGGGGTGGTGGTCGAGTGTGTGATGGTAGATATCGAGAAACATTATTTATAGGAATGCCTTTAAAAAAAAACTCTGGAAAATTTCCCAATTAGATTTTCAGCTCAATTTAAACATACCAATATACTGCGGCCCTTTCAACAAATCCCAACCCCATGATGGTCCTAGGAACAGTACCTCGCTTCTGAAAAATTGCCATAATGACTTTTAGGATGGTGACAATTCCATGGGGGGAAAAAGAGCTCTGAGATTTATAGCCTTAGGGCAACTTTCCCACTGACAAAATACCTTTGCTAGTTAGAAGTTCTGTATTACTCATTGCTTTCCAACACAGTACAAACATGAAGTAGAATGGAATCTTCCTGTAATTGAGCTTTCTCTAATTAGAAGCCTTATGTGGTTTGCCACTGACTACCATGATTCACTTGTAGGATAAAAGTTGTTCAAGTACATTTGCCTAACTCTTTAGCTTTACCCGTTGGACCCGATACATCTAAGATCAAAGAATTTCCTCCTTCATCAGTCTTCTTTCAGCCAGTCTCCTTTCCAGCTTAGTACCAAGTTCTGGGAATACAACAACGAACTGGCCTGATCTCCCATAGCTTAGAATCTGACCTGGAACATGACTGAATACTTAGCCAGACTCTGATTTACTATTATGGGAATGATATTTTAAATGTCTGCCATAACCACATTCCTCTCACAAGCAAGACCATAGTTTACAACATAGACCTTGCTAATGACCACAGATAACTGGCCCAGGGCTAGCCCGCTGTCCAAAGGCACCCATGGACGCCAGTGCTGTGAGAATGCTCCATACTGGACAGTGACTTGTCTATCCAATCAAACTTCTCTCTTTGGGAGTTTGAACCTGCACACAGCACGATGGCATGAAAAAGAAAAGATATGCTGAGAGAAGCGAAAAATCAGATGCCATGAGGCAGCAAAGGCTGCCAATAAATAGAAGACATGTTGCTGACAGACCATTAGCTGGACATACAGGAGAAAGAGAGCAGATAGATACGGTAGACACTAGTACCTGAAATTTATTCATTAATAATACTTGAGTATTTACTATGTGACAAGCATAGGTGCTGGGGATAAAATGGTGAAGAAAAACAGCAACTGACACTTCTTGAACTTCTGTAATATCCTGAATGTCATTCCAGGTCTCCATGAAGTCTAGCTGTGTAGCACTTGAGACTGTCTCCTGTCTTCCTTACTTTCCTTCATACTCTTACAAAAAAAGACCCATCAATAAAAGTAACCTAAAGTAGTCTCTGTTCCCTAATGCTCACCAAGCTGATATCGACCACTGGGGACTTAACAAAATAACTTTGAACAAAACAAAGTTACGAAGTAATGGATACAGAAACAAAACAGGGTTCTCACTTGTAAGATACATAATCTGCAAGGCAATTCTACACTGAAGGTACTCCAGTCATTTTAAGTACCTACTTGAGTATCTTTCTCAACAGAGCAAACTTCTTTTCAGAATTTACCTATTTTCAGAACAGGGAAAAAGGCACAACAGCAGAACTATTTATAAAATTTCCCCTATAAGGTAACGGTTCTATCAGTGGAAAGTGACCCACTTAACTTTCATCTCTTCCCATAAAAACAGCAATAAAGACTTCAATTTACATGGCAAGGATTCTAGGTTACCTGGACAGGACTGAAATTACCATCACATTTTACTAAGTTGAGAATTAGTTAAGCATATGTGTATCAAGAACACCATGTTCTGTTTTGTTTTCAAAGGCAAGGTAATTTTAATTATTATTTGCATTAAGGTGGAAATTACGAACAATTAGCATTCCAGGGCCTACTTACAGCACAGGGTTAATCCATGGGTTGGAAAAACCACTGTTCCTCTAAATTTCAGAGTGCTTTGCTTTCCATTCCTATGCTCTGTGCTTTGAAGAGCCCTAATTAGACACAGCTACTCTAGCAGCAGTGCAATTCACCACAAGCAGTTCACTAAGAAAGGACAGCTTTTGGAATAAAAGGAATTCTAGAACTAGGAGAGCTTTTCAATGCGTTTGTTGTTGAGGTCAATCAGAAAAGAAGGCATTTTCTATATTTTTGAGGACACACAAGAGCACAAAGGCTTCTTTTGACTTGAGTAACCAAAAGCCTACCTGGCATAGGTTCCAATTTAAACCCAACAACTACAATATTTTGAGACAATTAATGACTGGCAGCAACTCTGAAACATTTCAGAATCCCTGGCACAGAGCAGGCATTCAGTTTCAGGCATTTCTTTTCAGTTAACTGAAAAGAAAAATGATCATGGTGATCATTTATATTGACATTTGCCACTTCGGTAGATTTTTCAGAGTTCGTTGCTTATTCTGTTATAAATTCATCTGCCTGAACAGTTGTTAGAATAATTAGAGATTTACTCCTGAAGCGCTATCTGGGGCTTCTGTTTCTCCCATGTCTGCCAGTGCTGGTGAGCGTAACACCCATCGCACAGTGGGAAGCAGGCTTGCCCCTTCCATTCTGTTTAAACCGCAAGCTCTAAGCTGGACGTTATTAAAAAAGAAAAAAACAAAACAAAAACAAAACAACACACAGAGGAATGAATTAGAAGGTAATTAATTGTAAACTGAGTAAATAGTTGATCTATGATTCAGCATTTTGACTCTGACTGCCAAGACTGGCTCCTTGGATAATTATTATCATAATTATTCAAATAGCTGTGCATGAAGGTCTGACTGCCTCCTCTAAACATTCTGGATTTTATTCTTGGATGAACCCAGATAATCAGAGAGCTACATTGTGTTGTTTTAACTCCTCATAGAATCGCCTCTGATGGGACATGCTTTAGCTAATACCACCAGCCGCGGTATTAGCTGGTGGTATTAGCCAAAGCATGCTGGTCGTTCAAGTCCCCTTGGAAGACCAGCACGTGACCCTCGGCGTTGCCTGACTCAGTGGCACTGAGTGGGGGACGCTCAGGAACCCAGGCTTAAATGGAGGGACGGCCACCGTATGTTTTTTTCTGAAAATCCATGGGAGAGATTTTTCCCAGTGAACTGTGTTTCATCTGGAGCAACTATTTTGTTTTTACTTTATAGCTACTGTAAGTCTGTCGTCATTAAACTTTTAACTTGTCTTTGGCACATAATATGTGTTTAACAAATATCTGTTGAATGAATGGGTCCCTCCATGCTCTGACCACTGGCGGAGAGGCACATGCGCTCCTGAGAGAATCAACTGCCAGAGGCAGGTCTGAGGGCTTTGAGTTCTGACTCTAACCTTGGCTTCACTTTATTTTCTGTGGTTAATTTTATCTTTTATTCATTAACTCATTCATTTCACCCTGTAAACCACTTCAGAGCCTTTCCTGGAAAAGCAAGATGGGATAAAAATGTTTAAGATCTGATTGTAAAATTCTACAGCTTATGCTGACACTATAGCCTCGGCTAAAATGATCTTAAACTTGTCTGTTTTCTATTCCTCTTCTGCCTTCCCCTCACAACAATACAGTGGAATTATTTTTTTTTTAATTCTATTTTCAAAATATGTTATTAGGGCTTCCCTGGTGGCACAGCGGTTGAGAGTCCACCTGCCGATGCAGGGGACACGGGTTCGTGCCCCAGTCCGGGAAGATCCCACATGCCGCGGAGCGGCTGGGCCCGTGAGCCATGGCCGCTGAGCCTGCGTGTCCGGAGCCTGTGCTCCACAACGGGAGAAGCCACAGCAGCGAGAGACCCGCGTACCGCAAAAAAAAAAAAAATTATTAATTTACTTTGACCCTGCTGTTGAACTGGTTCCTCTTCAAAAGCAGGGATGTCACAGTATTTTATCCATCTGTGTAGGTGCACAAAGAACCACATACAGCTGGATCAATGCTGGAGTTTCTCACAGAGCTGGTGTCATTTTGGAAAGTGAATGACAAAGATGTATAAATTTAAAATTGTGAAGAAAGGCTGAATACTAATTTAGATTCTTTGGAGAAATACAGCGTGGGTAAGAAAGAAAGGCTTTATTTAAAACAAAGTGCAATTTTGTGGGTGAACGGCTGTGTTGTAGGCAAGACGGAGAGTAGGGGAACTATGATCTTGGGTGTCTGGTACCCGATTCAGCATCAAGAATTCTCTTCCCAGTTAAGTGAACACTACTCTCCCGCTCTTTATTACATTTCTATCCAGGACTCGAGAGAGATAGGTTCTAAAAGCATTTAATTCAGGGCCTCTAAAACTAAACTAGGTGCACGCCAGGGCTCATTTCTGTCCCGGTTTGTTTCCTCTCTGTTTGCAACCTGTAGGAGCTTGCCACAAAACAAAATTACAACTCTAAGACCTTTTTGAAAAACATCATCAGTTTCCTTACTGGGATCATAACTCTTTTTTTAAATAAATCCTCAATTCCCTTCCATACTCTTCACATGGAAATAATGATGCTGTAAACACCAGGCATGCGCATAAAAAACAGAAGTGCACAGTAGGGTGACAAGGACCATGGATACTCTTGAGTTAAATACGACACCAACTCCTCTAAGTGGCTGTCAAAATATTTTGATCAACTAGAATGCTTTTCATAGACTCTTACCTTAAAAATAGATAGAGCAGGGCTTCCCTGGTGGCGCAGTGGTTGAGAATCTGCCTGCTGCTAATGCAGGGGACACGGGTTCGAGCCCTGGTCTGGGAGGATCCCACATGCCGCGGAGCAACTAGCCCCGTGAGCCATAACTACTGAGCCTGCACGTCTGGAGCCTGTGCTCCGCAACGGGAGAGGCCGCGACAGTGAGTGGCCCCCGCTTGCCACAACTAGAGAAAGCCCTCGCACAGAAACGAAGACCCAACACAGCAAAAATAAATTAATTAGTAAACTCCTACCCCCAACATCTTCTTTAAAAAAAAAAAAAATAGAGCATTAATTGACAGCGAAAGTTGTCCTTAATGCTGTTTACCTTAATGCTGTTTACCTTAATGCTGACACCCCTATCTCCCAAAGGGCTAATGTTGGCTCCAACGGAAGAGCTCCAAAGTGCTATGGAAAAGAACCTGCTAGATATGTGGGCATGGAAGGATAGGCAGGACGTACTGTAGAGTGAAAGGAGACAATGCAAAAGAATAGAAGGGCATGATCTCATTTACGTTACACCAAAACAAAAAAGTACTTATGTAGTCATGAGAGACCTGTTTATATCTGTCCAGTGTGTGTCTCTCCCATGGCCTTTCTCCTTTCTGCCCATGTCTTCTCTCCTATGGGACCCTTGTATGTTTCAGGGTGGTTGATCCCCATCTCCCACCCTGGGCGGGCAGATGACCCCAGCCTGGTTGATCAGAGATCCTATGACTGTTGAGAAGCCCTTGTCAGGAATTGCCTCCCTCTCCTCCGGGGTTGCTCAGCTGGCAACACTGCTGGAGGCCGTACCACCTCCTTGAAGAAGAAGCCCGACCATGAAGCCACGCAGCAGCAAACGGGCTCGAAAACCAGAAACAGAGCCCTGCAAACACTCTGCATCCCTAGAGCCAGCTGTTCTTAATTACACAATTCAATGTATTACCTTTTTAGTGTGTTTGGAGGTTGAGGAAGAGGCTTAACTGAGTTTAAACTAGATTTCTGCAATTCTCTGTGGAAAATTTCCTAACCCAAGAACAGTCAGAGAGAGATACAACATTGCTGGCTTTGAGAATGGAGGAAAGGGTCCAAGAGTCAAGGAATGCGGGCAGCCTCCAGCAGATGGAAAACACAAGGAAATGTCTTCTCCCCTTGAGGTTCCAGAAAGGAGCATAGCCTTGCGGATGCCTTGATTTTAGCCTGGTGAGACACATGTGGGACTTCTACGAAAATGTGAGATAATTAGCGTTGTTTTCAGCCTCCGAAAATAATTTCCAAGTACAGAAAAGTTTAGAAAGTTCCTAGGATTCCACAGTGTTTTCTCTGTGGAATGGAAATGAGGGCAGGAGAGAAGGGGGGACATTTTATAATTTTTTAACATAAATATGCATTATTTTAAATAACTTGAAAAACGAATTTTCAACCTGGTTAAGAATGGAACAAGGATAAAAACCTAAGAATCACTGGGATTATTACCCACCCAGGAGAGTCAGAATAGCAGCTGCTTTACACATCCAACAGCACAGCAAGGAGGTGGCTTGTGAGGAATTCCAACCAGCACCATAATGGTGCTAGTATAATGGTGCTAGTAACACAAGGGTCAGCCAACGAGCCAACACTCCCCCTTGCACACCACACACCCGGTCAAACCAGGTCCTTCCAGCCCAGTCCCGCTGGAAGGCTTTATCCTACTTGCAGGGGCTGGGCCGCAGCTCTCACATAGATTCTTGAAACTGATTTTGAAGACAGGGCTGGGGGAGACGGAGAAGAGAAGCCAGAATAGTAACTGGCCCACTATTTAGCACATTTTTCAATAGAAAATCAACAAATTGCCCACAAATTGCTATGCTAATGAAGAATTGTCCTGCTCTGCAGTGAGCATTTAGCAGAAGAGAAAAGACGACTCATTTATGCCACTCTGAGAGCTGCCATTCCAGGGGGTCCCCTGCTGAATTTTAATCGGCTTCAAGTGGGGAAAAGGGAAAAAGCAGGAGAGCTGATGGGCTCTGGTCACGTTTCTCTCCAGTCATTCTCTCTCCAGTGCTTGAGACATAATGCCAGACAGCAAGCCATCTGGTGTGCAAGTCAGCGGCGGCTTTCTACTAGCGAATGCCCAATGCAGGGGCCACGTTCAATATGCCCCTCTCGAAGAATTTTCAGAAAGGAAAATACCTGGGGCTTCCCTAGTGGCGCAGTGGTTGAGAGTCCGCCTGCCGATGCAAGGGACACGGGTTCGTGCCCCGGTCCGGGAAGATCCCACATGCCGCGGAGCGGCTGGGCCCGTGAGCCATGGCCGCTGAGCTTGCGTGTCCGGAGCCTGTGCTCCGCAACGGGAGAGACCGCAACAGTGAGAGGCCCGCGTATCGCAAAAAAAAAAAAGAAAGGAAAATACCTGGCCCTCCCCCCAACAGCTAACTTACAATGAATGCACATCTTTCTTTTCTAAAGTCACTTCATTTTACTTAAGACAAGAGAAGTCAGGACATTCTGCCAAACGTCGGGGGAGGATACACAGAGAACACATATCGGATACATACAGAATTCCTTTTAATTTGTCTTGAAGTCTGTGCCCAGAGGACAATGGCAACAAAACAATGCAGCCCGAGCCACTTCACTGCTGTTTAGCCTGGTCCTTCATCAAGAGTGACAGGGAGGGTGAAGGAAAGGCCGTCATCTGTTCCAGGGACACGTCTGCTTCAAACCAACAGGAGATTTCTATTTCTATGTTCCTCTTTTTCTCCACCTCCTTTCCTACCTTCCTTGTCTTAGTTTAAGAAAGATATGGCTAAAGAAGAAGAAAAATACCAAGGCCACAGGCCTAGGTCAATGCATAACATCTAAAGGATACGAATAACACATCCTGAGCATGCAAATATGTAAGTGGTATCTCTTTAGCCTTTTCCATTTATCTACCAGGAATAAACTGAGGTCAATTTCAGATTCCAATTTAAGAACAAAAGGTTAATTTATTAATTCAGGCAGAAAAGGTATTTCAAAAATATAAAATAGAATTTTAAATTGTCTTCTGCTCTAAAAGCAAAAATTTTAAATATTCTAAGTTTATCGAAGCGGTTAGTTTCAGATTTTACTTACTGTAGACAGCATATCGTTAAAAAGACTTCAGTGGAGATTACTATTGCACCACAGTCAAAGACCCTGGAAACAAATTCTTAAAATGCTTTTGAATGATCTTCCTATGTATGTGCATCTCAGGTCCTTCTTTCAACTTCCTGTAGTCTAGCTAGGGTCTAAGCCCCTCCCCCCACAAAAAATTTAAATAAGTGGTTCAATAGCAATATTAAACTGATCACTATGTGACACAAATGAAAATAACATTTTGAGTAACGTCACAAAGCCTACAGAGCGTTCTACCTAAATACAAGTCTCGATCTTTGTGTGACATAGGTTGAGTGGGTATCACTGCCCTGCTCTACTGATAATGAAAGAGTAAAAAAATATCATTCCCCTTATTTCCTGAAACGTGCCCCTCTGACAGTCACCTGCCAACACCTAAGAGTCAGATTCCTTGCTCAGCAGCAAGGGATGAGTCACTTACCAACACACAGGATGTTGAAACAGAATCCTTGAGAAGTCGACTTGTTGACCAGCTGGTCGGGGAGACTGTCAAATCCAACATGGCCAGAAAGAGACAAGTTTCGAAGCTCTTCATTCTGGAATTTCAGAAGGGAAACATTTGATAACCCATGACAGTGCCACCTGGGTACCCCTCCCTCTCCCATCCTCTCTTCTTGACACGCATGGAGAAAGGCGACCCCTCTGTGCCCACCCCGTCCCTGGCTTCTACACAACTGAAGTTACCAACTCCAGAGCTACGCTCTTTCCACAAAATCACACTGAGGCCCTAAGTATACCAATCCCCCTCCCAGGCAGCTCAGGTCCGGTGACAGGTGCACTGGTCCAGGGGAAATAAGCTTCTAGCAGTGGCTGATTCAGACATGCATTAAGTGACATTAAAAACTTCAACCATTTTGACAGCTTCAAGCACTCAAGAAAACCCTTCAATTTACTTTCAGCCCAGTGGCAAAAAATAAATGACACTCTTCCAGATACAGGAAGGAGCTCTGAGAAGCTCACAGTGGAGGATGCATACCCATTACAATTACGGAAATTCTGTAACTACCATGATGAACATATTGAAAATGGCATGGCACAGGACTTGGTTCCTTCTCCATCATCTGGACGGGCTTCTTGGGGCTACTTTGCTCTCCCTCACACAGCTCCTAGCACAGGTTCTGCACTCCCCACACCTTCTCAAGAGTCTCCTGAAGGAGACTGGGACTAAGGTAGTTATCATACATTTAAAAGCTGGATGATTTGTGCTGTTTCATTAGATGGTGCTGACTGCCTCCACAACTTTGAATGTATTCCGTGGGTATTGGAGATCATCTGTGAAACCTTCCTTTCCCAGGAAAGCAGAGGTCAGCTATGGTCTTTCAATTAAACACCACAGTTATGGTATGGGATTCCAGAAACTAGATCTTGAAAGCCTTCCTGAAAATGAGACTCCTGGTATCTGGCTATGTTGCCAATGAGCTTTATACTCGAGATACTGAATTTTGGGTGAGAAAATGAGCCTCAAATTTCCATTTTCTAATAAAGAAGAAAACGCCATGCACAGGATCATCTGGTCACTATTTTTAAAAAGACTGGTTTTCGTTATCCTCCTATGTGTGTTACACAATGAGGACAGTAGGGTCTTTTAATAATCAAAGACTGAGACTCCATTTCCAAATCCCTAAGTCACTATAGAGGCGGGGAAATGTAACTCCATAAATGTGGTGATTTTAATGGAATGTTTTATGAACAATGTAATACCTGAGGGCCTCGCTAGCTCTACAATTCTGATTCTGTGAAACAAGACTGGAAGACACAACACTGCCTGAATACCACGGTGGCAGCTGCAGGTTTGAGGTCAATGGGACAGAGAACAGATGTCTAGTCTATGAATAGTCTCCTTGAAACCTGCCAGCAGTGACTATGAGACTCAAGAGTGGGCTCTTATCCTTGAGCAGGATGGACTGGCCAACAGTGCACCAAACAGCTTGGGGAGCAGCCCTGGTAGCCTGGCAAGGCCTCCTGACAGCACCCTGTGGCCCCAGGGCTACCACCTGCCCCTTCCTCTCCAAAGACCTCAAAGGTTCAGACAGCAGGTATTTTTAGGGTGTTTACCACATCTGCCAAGACTGGGGGAGGAAGATTTGAAAGGAGTCTGGGTTATATTTAGAACTCTTTCCATCACAGCTGCACAGGGGCTGCTGTGCAGACAGCGAGGAGAAGCCGTCACACCAGCCTCTTTCCTGATGCACCACAGCCTTGAACAGTCAGTGAGCAGCACGAAAAGGGGACGAGGCAAGTTAGAACCATCGTCCCTCCTTCCCTCTCCTCTTTGCCACAATAATTCTTTTAATTTCTGGGGGGGGGGGTGCGGGGAGGAGAGTGGTTTATTGCTCTGGATTCTGGACTCTTGTTGGGTTTTTAGGTTCAGATATCTACCCGGGAGCCAATCGGGGGAAAGAATCAGAGTTAGTAATTATAGCTCTCATCCCAGAACCCAATGCTCAGCATCTCATATTCTCACCATTTCCAAAACATGAGAAACCACCCACATACCCACCGAGTATTTTTATACCCACTGAAAACCACATACAAAATGAAGGGTTATAAAACAGTTTGGTCTTGAAAAAAATTTTTTTAATTTAAATTTATGTCTTCAGAGTCTCTCTCTTCTTTGTCATATAAAATATGTCAATTTTATAATGCCATTTAAAAATTCCATAATCTGAGCCTATTTCTCTGCCCAGCCGTAAAGGAATCCTTTACTGGGCTATTGCCCATTGGTGAGTGATGGGGAAAGGGGAAATAGGAAGTTCCTCCTTTGGTTCATGAACAGGCTTAAAACTGAAAGCACTGCAGGATGTGTGAGGGGAGCTCTATCTCACACACAGCAGCTAAAATGAACTCCTACACCCCGACACTTCATGGCACCACGCTTATGGCTTCATGCCTTAGATGTCTCTATCCAAAGAAAGTGTGCGGGGCTCTTGAGTCTACAGGCGTGATCTCAGGGAATCTCAGATAGTCTCATGTCTTTACCGCTATCACACACCTAGCAACGACTCTCAGAATTTTCTAAGTACTGAACTCTGCGTTCCAGTTCTGAATTTCTACCAAAAGGGGCAGTTCTCCCGGGTTGTCCTTTCTGTCCCTCAAATTGTTCTTCAAGAAACTTGAAATCATCTTCTTCTATTGCAAACCCACCCCTACTCCCGGGTTCCCTGTTTCTGTTAGTGGCATTTATCTGTACCTGAAACCCACCTGCCTGCATCAGTTCCAAACTGTTATCAATGCCACACCCTCCTCCTCTTCATGCTAATTCAACAGCCTTCCAACTGTCACCTTGCCTCCATCCCACCCCCTCTAATCTTCCCTCGCTCTACCTTGCTGCCAAAGGGATCTTGGTACTCAAAGGTCCTCAATCCAAACTTGGCCTGCCATCTCAGGAGCCTCCATGGGCTAAACACAAATCCCTATTCCCACTCCTCCCAGGGAGCACCTTCCACTGCAGTTAAATGGAATTACAGTTCCTGGGAGAAAACCCCAGGGTTCTCTTCATCAGACTTTACTCATACTATTTCCTCTATCTGGAAGGAACTTACAGCCAGTGTTTACATATCCAAACCTTCCAGATCCCACAGAAATTTTATCTCCAGGCTTGTCTTTACTATGAAATCTCAGGGAGGATTTCAGTAAACATTCCCCCTACCAATAAAAGGAAAATAATAATTGGATAAAAGTAGCTCGAGCTATTTGGTATTCCACCATCATCATAACAGCTAACTAACATTTATGGACCAAGGTTCCAGAAAAGCCCTAAACATGAATGAATTAGTTTATCTTAACAATTCTCTGAGGTAGTTACTATTGTTACCTAATCTCAACTGACAGATGAGAAAACAGAGGCCCAGAAGTTTAGTAACTTGCCCAAGGTCTCACAGCCAATAAGGTGAGAAGCTGAAATGTGGACCTAGGAGGTCAGGTGCCAGAGTCCAGAGTCCTCACACTTAGTCACTGTTACCACATGATGATCTAAGTTCCTAGGTAGCCCCAGACAATACAGTAATTGGAGCTGCTATTGAAATCCAATATATTAAACTAGAAAGAAAAAAATGTTCTCTAAAATCATAATTCTTTGGCAACCGTAAGAGGTGGAAGTTGAGAATTGAAATTGGCAAAGCAGCTCTAAGTATATTTTCACTGGTCCTGGCAATGCTGAGACTTTGATTTTTGCATCTGTGGCACATGAAGCCAATAATAAAGGGTTAGTTTGGACCATTTTTGAGATGTAAGTGCCACCTTGGAGCCTCTAAGTAAGTAACTATAAGACCTTAATTGATTTAGTCCTCCATTTGCTAATCTATCTAGGGAGGGGTTGTACTTGGATAATTTCTAGGCCCACTCCATCTTGAAATGGGCAATGACTGAATTCTATAGTATAAAATAAAATAACCAGTCTTTAACTTGACAGTCTCATTTTTCTCTTTCCAGATCATCTTGACATGAACACAATTATTTATTTGTTCATTCAAAAAAAACCTCACTGCTCAAAGCGCTAAGGGAGCAAAAATACATTACTTTTGTTATTCATTGATTAAACACTCTTCCTGCCCTTCAGGGGTTTACAATGTAGCAGTAGAGACAGGACACAAGTAAATGTAATACTATTAAGGATAAAAGTGATACATACCATCACTTTAACTGTGGGAATGACAAAGGGGAAACAGGTAGCTTTTGGCTAGGGAAAGTCAGGGGGGCATCTTTCAGGAAGGCTGGAGCTCTCCAAATCTACCAGGGTAAAGAAGTCCAGCTTGCAGAAGCCTTCCAGATAAATGTTATCTATACACAAAGGGTCACTTTATTATGAATGTGTACTTTGAAGATCATAATCGACAAGTTTTTCAGAAGCTATCTAGCTGACTTCATTATGGAAATAATTATAAAACAAATTATATAAGAATGTGTGCCAACACCTACATTCTGAGTGCTGCTTTAAAATATGTTCCACAACTCCAAATCTTGCTTAACCACAAGGAGGATGGAAAAAGACTTGGAGTCAGACAGCCATGGGTTTGATTCCCTACTTTTTGTCCTCCATCAGTAAAAATGGAGGACTTGGCAGGGTGGCTGGGAGGAACTAAGGAAATGGTACCTATGGGAGGGCCAGCATTTAATAGGTCCTCAGGAAACCTGGGTTTCCTTTCCCTAAATTAGGTGGGAGGAAGACAGCTGTCATTTTAAAATGAGGAGCCCTCCTATTGCTGCTGAGAGCCCGGGGAGAAACTGGGGATGGGCAAAGCCCGCAGACTAACCAGGGAGGAAGAATCACTCACGGAGGAACAAAGAGGAAAAAAAGAACAGGGAAGAGAGAATGGGGAACTCTAGTGTGAAGAAAATCCACCCTAAATAGGAAGCTCATTTACAAGGCTGAGGGGAAAGCCACAGAATTCCATTCCTGTTTGCAGGCATCCACATCCTCCACGGCTGGAAGCCATTAAGGATTCCTCTTCTTCACTCTTCCTTCTATTTTAGTCCAGCCCAGAGCCTCCTGAAATTAACAAACTGGCTGTGCACAGATGGATTCTATTCACCATAC